TAGAGGGAGGCACACAGGCAGAAGGCAGGGCAGGCAAAGTGGGAAGTGGGTTGGGCCAGGTAGGGTCTCTCCTTCCCAAGCCCCCAACATCTGGACATTGGCAGTCATCCTCCCCTGTAGAAGGTCCCTCAGAGTAGACCCAGGGATATTCTACTGAGGAAGGCTCTGATGAATACAGGGGTTCAGAGGGAGGTTTAAAGGCAGAGAGAAAACAGGCCAAGAGCATTGAGAATGTATACAAACCCTCAAGGAGACCCTGCAGCTGTGCCTTCTCCTAGTGCTGAGTGCTCTTCTCTACCTTCTGTCCCTGCCCACCTCTTCTGGTCCTAGAATACAGGATGATGGGGGGAAGGATGTGGGTCTGGGCAAGCCTGAGGAGGAGAAAGAGAAGCCTCCTTTATGTATCACTTTTCCCACCCAGACCTCCAGGAAAGAAGATCTCTGGAGATTCTTTTGAAGGCCAGCAAGGGGACATGAGCAGAAGGGTCAGACCAAAGCCAGGCTATCCGACATCCCACTCAGTTCATCTCTGACCACTGACCAGTTGAGTGGACTTCGGAAAAAAAAACTGAGCCCTCTAAGTCCTGGTTTCTGAATATCTATAAATTGGGGAACCTCTTTCCCACCAGATTTTTTTTTTAGGGGAAGTGCTAGACAAATATTTATTCATTTTACACTCTTTCTTTTTCCCCATTCTCCCAGGATCTGGATAGCTCTAGAATTTAGAGTAGCAATTCTATGTCCAAACCAGCCCTGGGAAGATACATTCTGTCCCACATCCAGCCCTCACCACATTTGACTGGCCATACCTCCAGCCCTTCATTATCTAGGACCAAAGAACCCCAAACATTTCTTAGGTAAATAACAACAATAATATTATTTTCATGTCTACTAATTATTAAGTATAGTCATCCTACTTTTAAGATAAGCCAATGCTTATCTTAAAAAAAAAAAAACTAAGAAAATTTACAAAAACTCCAAATCTGTGACTGCTTATCATCTATGCTTAAACATGAAAGGATGGTCAGAGATCACTCAAAACTCTCCACTTTCATTGACACTGATTGAACATCTACTGTGTTCTGGCTTCCACGCCCAGTTCTGGGGACATAAAGCATCAAACCATCCAAAATTAGTGTTTTCTATTTAGCTTTGGAGGGTTATATGAGTTTCTTTCCCTCTCTTTCCCACCCCCTCCCTCCCTCTGCAGCTACAGCAAATATACTTTTCTAATGAGGTTTGGCTCCAGCCAATATTAAAATGAGTCTGTGCTCCTTGCGTACACACCAGCTGACAGCAAGGCAGAAGGCAGCCTCTGCGCCAAGTGCCTGGCAGGGATTAAGGCTTTGCCACCACTGATAAGCCCAGAGTGCAGAGTCTAAGTCTGGATCAAGAGTTGACTAGATTTGAGGACTCACCTTGCCCAAGGGGCTTGTGGGTCCCACAGCTCAGTGTACAGAACCATGGCAGGATATGAGTTTCTAATATGAGCCTTCATCTGTGCACATGAAAAAGAGGAGAAAGGGATGGCAGAAAAGAGAGAGCAGAGACAAGAAGCTATGGTGATGGGATGAGTGTGACCATGGTGAGAGACTAGGCTATGCTTTCCCCACTGGCTTGCTATATGGCACAGGGTGAGCTCCTTCACCTCTTCCCATCTTGCTTCCTTCTTTCTAGCCAGGAGTCATACTTTAGGCTCTGGGCTTTGGGCTCTGGGCTATTCATTTGACCATGAATCTGTTAGATTAACACTAGGTTAAATCCCGCACTCTAAGCAGTCCCCAGCCACTCCAGTGTCCATTTTGAAACATTCTCAATAGTGCAGAAAGTTCTAGTGCATGGAGCTGCTGTAGCCCTTTGTCTTCATAGATGGTTTACCACGGTGGCTAAGAGTGTAGCTATTGGAGCCATACTGACTGGACTCAAATCCCCACTCTGCTGCTTACTAGCTGTGTGGCTTTGGGACTTGCTTAAACTCTGCCTCCAATTTCTCATCTCTAAAATGGGGATAATAATAGGATGTTGATGAGGAGGGAATGAGTCATTACAGTTAATCATGCTCATCGCTCAGAACATATAATAGCAGGTACTTTTTAATTTTTTATTTGAAAATAGAAAGCAATTTGTATTATTCATTTATTTAACAATTCATTGACTTACTGAACAGTCTACTCTGTGCCAGGCTTTCCTCCATTAGCATGTGACCTTGCTTCTTATAACTCTGCCCATTTCTGAACCTCAGTTTCCCCCACCCATGACAAGAATGTGACAAATAAAATGAGACTAGGAATGTGTCCTCATTTGTAAATTAAAAGGGTTGGTCATTGGAAGGTAGACACTATGGAAACTGTATTTTATTGGAAATGTAGTCATCAAAAAGTATTTCTTAAGTCCCAGAGTTGAAAGAAGCAAGGTAAGTGCCAATCAGATGCCATGACTTCTTGCTGAGTAGAGGTGAAGGAATGGATTTGAGGGCACTGTTTAGGCTCATCCCTTCTGGTCTTGAGGAGAAGAAAACCAGGAGGCTATGGCCCTGAGCTCAGCAGTGGGAAGCTGCAGGGGGAGGCCCTCGACTGGACAGAACTTAGAGCTGTCACAGGCCCAGCTGACTGTGCAGCTGGAGCCCCAGGTTATGGTCCCTGCTGTGTCAGCAGCTCATTGTGTGACAGAACCTATGAAGCTTTGGTTTTTTCATCTAAAATATGAAAGGCATGGACCAGTGAATATTTCCACACCCAAGTAAATTATACCACTGAGCTTCTTCATAAAACACCACAGGAGCAAGAAGCAAGAGACAAGCTGCCAGAGGTGAAAGGGAGGGAAAAAAATGGATGTAAGGAGCAGGTACTGGTCATGGGGGGCCACGGACTGTGGAATGGACACCCCAGAGTAACTGGTCTGTCAGACTTTTCCCAGAAGTAAAAATCTTTGACTCAAAGTTGTTCCCTTATTTTCATAGATAAGGGAACAGATGCTTAGAGTGGTCCACAGAGCACCCAGCCTGTGCCCTGAGTTTCCTGACTCCCTGCTTCTCCCTCTCTAACAGGCACCCTTTTATCTTCTGCCATGGTCAGGGGCCCCTTTTGTCCAGGGGTAGGTTAGGGACAAGAGTGGATCAGGATATGGTGTAAACTCTATCTGACAGGCCCCTAGGGAAGGTCAGCTCCTGCAGGCCACAAACAATGAATCAAAAATACATACAAAACTTTAACTGAGTCAGTGAATCACCAGCCTGCTATGAAATAGCCATGCACACTATGACCGAGGCAATAAGGTCGGCCTGAAAGAGTCAGGTTGGATGAGCTGTTGGGGTCCCTCAGTGGTTTAAGACTTGGATTTGGGGCCACTTGGCTCCCGCTTAGCCTAGACCCAAAGTCCCCTGATTGGGGGTGGTGTCTTCCTGAGCCTAAGGAAATCTGGGGACAATCCTCAGCCACCTCCACCATGATCACTGTCCTGACACCCTTGCAGAGCTGTCAGTATTATGCCCCCTGGGAGGCACAGTGAATAGAATAACAGGGCCTTATTAGGAACAGGGACATTGTCATCTCGGAGATGCCACCTTCTAGTGGCTATTCTGGGTGTGTATTTCATTGTCCTGACTCAATGCCCTTTGCCCTTTCCTCCTCAGTTCTCTCCCTGTCCTTCACCTTCCCATTATCCACGGACCACAAAGTAGAAGAGACATTGCTTGTTCCAGAGAGAACACTGAGTCTACAGAAGCCAAAGGATGGGGCCAATTGGCACCCACATTGTGATCTACATTACAGGCCCAGGACCCTTCGCTCTGCTGGCAGCTTGGGGTGACATAGAGCCTCTGGGTGTATGATTCTCTCCCACTATCAGAGAGTTTCTGAACCTAGATGAAGTATTACTCTCCTAACTCTTCACTTGTCGATATTAATTTCTTTTCCTACTCATAAATCTCCTCCTCTCTCTCTCTCTCTCTCTCTCTCTCTCTCTCTCTCTCTCTGAGAGCAAGTAAGCCCACTGCTTGTTGTCTCTGCTACTGCCCAGGCAGACAACCAAAGGCTGCCTTGCGTGGGTGCACATTCCTCCTAGCGGCACATCTGAATCCTCTGAAGGGTGCTTCCTACAGGCATGCCTTGTGCCTGATTTTTCATGAAGATTTTTCCAAATGACAACTCAAGAAGGTACACAGGCAATCTACCTGTGACCAAACACAGGCATTCAGCCCAGCTCTGTGCAGGGAAAGTATCTCCCCTCCAGAATCCAGGCCCTGAGAGGTGTTGTTGACCCTGTCTAAGATCTTCCGTTTTTTTGTTTTTAATTGTGGTCAAAAAATATATAACATAAAATTTACCATCCTAATCATTGTAAGTGTACAGTTCTGTAGTATTAGCTATATTCACATTGTTGTGAAACAAATGTCCAGAACTTTTTCATCTTTCAAATTGGAAACTCTGTACTTTTTAAACCGCTTCCCAACTCCTCCTTTCCCTGGCCCCTGGCAACCACTGCTCTAGTTTCTCTCTCTATGAGCATGATAACTCCATTTAGCTCATATTTTCAGAATCATGTGATATTTGTCCTAAATGGCTAGCTTGTTTTACTTAGCATATGCCCTCAAGGTTCATCCATTTTGCAGCAGGTGTCAGAATTCCCTCCATTTTAATTGTGTGTATGTACCACATTTTGTTTATCCACTCAGACAGTTGACAGTTTCTTTGATGATAAGTTATGGAGCAAGAACTGCTCAATCTTTGGTCTCTCTTATCCTTCCCAGTTGGGGGATGTCTATACAGAGGTGAATCAGAGGAGACTTCTGTGCTTAGAGTGAAGCTCTGCAACCAAAGTCATGGGAGCAGAAAGGAACTCATTTTTATTTGTTGTCTGATTGGTACCTCTGGTTGCTCCCTTAATCTGTCCTATGCTGCCTAAATGTCCTCAGGTACCAGGTCCATGTATGACAGCCCTCAGAATGAGTGTATCCTGCCTCAGAAGGTAGAGGACAATGAAGGAGGTAAGACATGACACACTGACCAGTGGAGGGATGCTTGGATCCTGTACCAAACCCTCTCTACCCCGCCACCTTCCTGGGACCCTGAGAGAGAAATCTGTCCTGATAGTTCCAGAATCCTTGCCAGAGGTCAAGTGCCTAGGAGATCCTAGAGAGCCCCCCTGTGTATGTAGCAAGCCTGCCTTGAGCACGTGCCTTTGTGATGTGGGTTCAGGCTCCATCTCAGTGATCGATGATCCATAGCCACCCTGAAGCTTGCTGTATAATATATGGCTGTAGAACATACAGATAGTGTCAGCATAATCTACCATCTGCAGACTGAGATTTAAGGACCCCTCCATTCATTACATTCATACCTGCTGTGCTTGCACTGCCCACTCTGGCTCACAAGTATTTGTAGGCTGTGCTCCTCACAACTCCCTTTAGCCCCTTATTTTAACTCTTTCTCATTCAGATAGTAGGCTTAACTGATGCCTCAGAGAAGGGACCTCAGGGGCAGAACAGTTGTAACAGAGGGAGGAAGAAACCTCAGGTTGAAGGTGGTGACAATGATAGTGTTCGGGGTGCCAAGCCTGAGACCCCAGCTGGTATACAGGACATTCAGTCCTACCATGGCACTATCTTGGCCAACTCAAGGCTCAGATACTTGGTCTGGGCCAAATCCACATAGATTTCCTGGTCTGCTTAGTTCTGGTACCTAGGTCTCACAGGAATTTTGCAGGTATGTCTGTACTAGGTTCCATACTGCAGGTGTGCACCTCCATCATCTGGCTTTAAGAGACCTTTGTTGCAATCAGTGCTTAGTACCTGAGCAGCCCAGTCTTGGGTGGGTACTACTTCTAGAGTCTGCTGAAATGAGGGTAGCACTCCTCCCACCTTCTCAAGCCCAGAATTCACTGAATATTGCAGTCTTTATGGGTTCTAGACTGTTCTCTGCCACTGCTAGTGCATGATAGTCTGGTAGAGGGAGGGGTTGGGCCTTCTGACGAGCTGCCCCTGTGGCCCTTGCTGCTGCTGTTTTGTAAGTAGTTGTAGACTCTGTCTTGCTCCACTAATCCCTGCTCTTTGGTAGCAGGATAGGATGAACCCCTCCTCCACTAAGCAGGTGCTGACCCAGTAGGTGTAAGTAAGAGGTAAAGCTGTGTCTAGAGATGTCCTGAGTGGCTCACAGGCCTCTCACAGTGCCTTGAGCATTTCAGCAAGCTGGAGAGAGTCTCCAAAAACAGGAGAAGCTTTGTGGGTTAAATAAAGAGCATTTTGCTGTAACCATATGTGGAACCTGAGGGCAGGACCTGAATCCTGGCATGGCCTCTTCCTAGAGCAGGGTGAAATACATTGCCAGTTCTCTGCCTGCCTCCAGAGGGACCTGAGAAGGCTAGGCAGGCAGAGGATGTGGGGGATGTTCCTGCCAGCAGCAAGTCAGAACCACTTGCTCCCAGAGCTCATAATGCAGAAGGAGAAAGGAGCCATTCAGGTTTGTAGTTCATAAAGGTTGTTCAGTGAAGACTGCATGCAGGATTGGAGACTTCCCCTTGGAGGGAGCAGAGAGAAAAAGTGCCCAGTCTTCACTTGGCACTCATTCCCATAGCTGGCGCCTGCACATGGGGTGGCAATGGGCCCTGTTTAGGGGGACCCGATGCCCACTGCACTAGAACAATTCCAGACCATAACAGTTGTTGACCCATTGGCTCTTGTTAATTGTTTTATCACCTCATTACATCTTCAAAAATGTCCTAGTTTGCATAAAATAGTATAAGGTCTCAGTAGCTGTAACCAACAAAGGGCAGGGAAGTCTAAGTGGCCAGTTGAGAATGCAGCTTCGGCACACAGCCAAAAGGGACCCCACATTCTTACTGAGCTGAAGGCACAGAGCCGGCTGGCCACAGGTAAGAGACTCCCTGGAGGAAGCCAGCAGGGGACTTCAGCCCAGGAGGGATGCAACAGGGTCATTGCCTGGAACATTCATGAAATTCTCTAATGTCTTAATTTCTACAATTATAAAACAGAAACAAAGCTTTAGTATTATAAGGGTTTAATGATTAGTTGAGATAACAAATGGGAAATCATTTTGGAAGCCACACATCACCATTAAGCATGAGCGGTTGTGTTAATGGTAGATTTCAGTGGGGACCGTCTGCTCACCCTAGCACTGCAGAGAAACTGAATTGACATCTTGGCATCATCCCATCTATATTCCAGGACCTGAGGCTGTTGTGTGCCAACAGCACATGAGATAGTCTTTTATTTGAACAGGGATGCAACCATAGGATTCTCTGACGAAGCTCAAAAGCCATAATTGAAACAGCCAAGAGGATGCATACACATGCCCATTAACATACATGTATGTTTGTGCATGTGTGTCGAGAGCTACCTACTCCACAAAATCACTCAATAGAGAGGCTCTGTGGTTTTCCTGGACAGCTGTATGAATTGTCAGAATGAAAAAATTCAACCTTAGCCATTTTCCTGAGCTCTGTAGAATTACAAATACCACATCCAGGAGGCTGGGTAGAAAGGCAGGCACCTGTCACCTTTGCCAGACTTACCTAACCTTCCTCTTGAGCCACATCATTGGCTCAAGAGGAAGGTTAGGTAAGAAAAGAAAAGGGCACAATAGTCAAACTAATACTGTGACTTCTAGACAAGGACCTGTGATAGCCACTCAGGTCCAGGTACCACAGGCACACTGAGTAATGGCAGAGGCTAATAGAAGGCAGGTTTGAAGCCAAGGCAAGGAGGCAGGCTTGCAGATGGAAGGACATTGGATGGAAACTGGTCTTTGAAAGCCAGTCCTGGCTGTTCTTTGAGCATCTTAACTCCATTTAAGATTCTTTCCCTGGGGTTGCCCCCCAACCTTACTTTGAATGGTAGTGGGGCATTAACATCTGATGTGGACCGTGATGGGTCCACCTGTTGCCAGAGTTCTCACAAATGCCTCATGAAGAAGAACAGGGTTGGAATATAGGGATAGATTCTGGGGTGAGGAGCAAAGGTGTCTACAGAATAGGAGGGGGTGGAGTTGGAACAGTGGGACTCTGGGCAGAGGAACGAGAACCTTGAACACCAGGCTAAGTAAGTTGTTGCCCAGGAAATTTATAGAATGATACTGAGCATTAACAAATCTGTATGGTGAATCAGGCAGCTGGGGTACATTTTCAATTGAAGAGGAAAGACAGGAGTCAGATCACAATGGAAGACAACTACACACAAGGAACTGTCCTGTTCCCATATCAGAGGGGTGTAGCTTCAGGACTCAGGCAGCACCTAGAAGCTGAGGTCCAGCCATGACAGGGGAATCAAGGACAGCCCTGAGAATCTCATGTTGGCCTCCAAAAGAATGACAAAAAGATCCCTAGATGGGGGTACCCTAGGAAGAAAGATAGTGGTTGGATCTTAGGCATGTCACAATGAAGCATGCCAGGAACAGCACTGCTTCAGGATATGGGGAGAGTGAAGCCAAGAAAATTCAAAGGGACTTATCAGTGGCTTCACCCCATGGTGGTAGGGCCAAGGCTAGCTCTTGAGATGTGAAATTATCTCTGACTATCCCAGCCATTCTCTTTCTTCTTACTTCTCCTTTTGAGGTTGATATGGGAGCCCCAGCATCTGCAGCTTCCTTCTTTCTTCCAGCAGCCAGAGTTTAGCTGGAAGGAGAGGAAAGCAAGTCCAAGAATCCCATGCCAGGCCCTTCCAAGCTCTGAGAGTAAGAGCAACAGGAGTGTCTGTTTATTGGCACCAACCACATGCCAGGTAGTTTAGGACGATACTTTTTCCAATTGTCCTAACAACCTAGAGGCGGAAACACTATCTTATTCCCATTTTATAGATGGGAAAACCAGGCACAGAGAGGTTCCCTTGCCAAAGTCACACAGAGAAGAGAGGTTCATAGGGTGTCCAGGGCCCAGGCTCTTCTCAATAGTACTGTCCCTGCATGGATCACTCTTTCTTGGCATAGGAGAGTAAAGGGAAGATGGAAGAGAGGTGGTGGAGGCCATGAGTACAATTGTGCCCTGCTGTGACCCTCAGGAGGGTGGGAGCTGGGCAGGAGCTGAGGAATCAAAGGTGAAAGTGGCCTGTTTGCCTGGTTGTGGTGGGCATATTCTAAAGCATTCCTTGTAGTTTCTTCTGGTGGTCATGCTTCTGTGTAATCCCCTCCCTATAGGTGAGAAAAGCCCTCACTATGAGCCTCTAACCAGTAGAACATGGCAAAAATGGGAGCTCTCACTCACGTGTGATTACTTTGTGTTTGTAGGACTACAGTCTCCTCTGGATTCTGTCATTGCTGGCTTAATAAAGAAAAAGGCCATGTGGGAAGGAGCCATGTGGCAAGGTACTATGAGGTGAGCAGCCCCTACTAGCAGAGTACACTCACAGCCAACAGCCAGCAAGCAGATATTGTCCTTAACCTTACCACCCCATTGCAGTGGAATCTGCCGGTGATGTGAGTGAGCTTAAAAACAGATCTTTCCCCAGTCAACTCTCTAGATGAGAACACAGCCCAGTTTTTCCTTTGCAGCCTCGTGAGACCTTGTGAAGCCAGGCCTGGATTCCTAACCCATGTAAATTGAAGAGAGCAAGTGGGTGCTATTTTAAGCTCCTAAGAATATGATCATTTGTTTGACAATCAATAGAAAGTGAATGTGATGTGCTTGTCATGGGAATAGTGGCATCCCCTTCCAAGAGCTGACATGGCTACCAGAATGGGCCTAGGGCAAGGAGAGGGGAGGATAGGATAGTAATGAAGGAGGGTAAAGAAGGTGGGAGAGGCCACTACATTCCAACATCAAACCTCTCCTCTGACCCAGGTTGGGCTGCAGCAGGTTTTTTTTTGTAGGGACTGCTCCCCAGTCTTGCAAACCCCAAAGATATTCACTGTTTCTACATCATGCAGGCAAGGGCTGAATGGTCTGTGCTGTTCTGATCACTGTCCAAGTTAATGTTAGATACCTTCATCCTCTCAGCCACAGGGTACCCGATTCCTGAGACATGGGCTGTCACCCACGATGGCTCTCTACATGGTGGCTTTTCACTGGGAGTCCTCCATGATTCTGCTAACCATTATCCTCTGTGTCCAGTTCTCTATCAGGTTTGTCTTATTAGCTGCCACTTTCTCCCTGACTCTCTTACTCTTGAAGAACTAAGCAGTAAATCATTTGTTTGCTTGTACCCCAGCTCCAGTGATCCCAAAGAGGACAAGAACCTGAGCTGTCCTCACAGGACAAAACACTTGATTTTTGCTTTCAAGTCCTCACACTTGGAAGACTCTAGGGAAAGTGGATGTACTTCTGCCTGGAGACCATTAGTTGCACAACTAAGGGAACATCAGCAAAATCATCTGGGGTCAATATTTATTATGTTCAAATTCCTCCCATGAACTAGAATGGACTTTTACTTGCAGAGAACCACACTAAACTAAAACCCAATTTTCATTTTTCACAGAATCATAATCCAGATCTAATCTGAAAGCTATTGCTAGAAAAGAAAAAGAACAACAAAGGAATTTCTTTAAAAAAAAAACTCAGTGGATTATATTTTTTTTTTTTGACATTGTTGGCCTAGAAGAGAACCAAAACATAAAACTATTCTTTACACCAAGTCTGAATTGACGTAATACTTCCTTTCTGTTTGATTACTTGGCTTGGTTTTTCCCAGTTAGAAAAGAACATGGCAGAAGATCAGGAATACGATCCACAGGTGCCAGCCAGCAGGGGGGACAGACTCAGCAAGGTCATATCAATCAAACCCTGGGGCAGAAGTCCCCAAAGGGTGGGCCCAAGTGTGGGCCAGGACATCCAGGAAGCCAGATCTAGATGTGTCTGCAAAAGAAGGCAGCAAAGGAGACAGCTGCATCCAGAGTTTCAGACCTCTGCTCACCCTAAACATTGGGTCTTTGGGTCATGCAGCCTTTCTAAGCTTCTGTCGATTCCTGTGTCCTGCCCCATAGCAGGGCTGTGTGGGCCCCAGGGCAACTGCTGGTGGCTAGAGTGCTAGGGCCAGGTTAATGAAGTATGGATTGACTGTGCTGGGAGCTGATTAGCTCTGGCATCGGGCTTTTTCTGAGCAGTGCCTGCAGAATCAATACTAATCCCTTGATCCCATTAGGGGCTCCTGCAAATTTCTGGGACAAAGTTTGTGTCTCCCTCTGTTTGGGAAAGACCTGAGTAGGACTGGAGGGAGATGCTGGAACCTTGGCCAGCATCCCTCCCCTTATCTTTCTTTAAAATCTCCATTCCTCCTTCCTCCTGTTGTCATAACCCCACTCTCATGCCCAGAGGAATGGGGACCTTCTCCAACCACACCAGCTCCCCCAGCAACTTCTGTGATGCTGGTTATGATCCCATGCAAGGAGCCTTCAGCCTCTGCCTCTGTCTGGAAAACCCAGGCTCCTGAATGATGTGATATTAATGTACTTCTGTGCATGAATAGAGGGTTTTTTGTTTGTTTGTTTTGCAGTGCTGGGGATGGAACTCAGTGCTTCACTTATGCTAGATTCTACCACTGAGCCACATTGCCAGCCCAACTTTCTGAACTAACGTTTCTTTTGTCAACTAACTCAGCAAATTACCTGTGTACTCCATTTAGTTCATAAAGCACACTGAACCATGCCAGTGTGCCAGAGCAATGCAGGGATGGGGGGTCTCCTGGGCTCATAAGCTACTGAGCACATGCTTACTGAGAGTCAAAACATTTGTCCCCAACCTGTTTATGATGGCAGTGCTTGTTATCATCACAGAACATTAGAGATACCATTGAAATGATGTGTTGAAATAAGTGTGTTCTTTCCATGAAAACTAAATAGTATCTCTCAAAAGACCTCGTATGGAGAATGTGGGAAAAACAGTCTCCAAATTAACTGAAGATTGATGTTATAAGTTATAAGCATTCTAATGGGTATTGCACTCAAACTGCTCACCAAGGGTTTTTCAGTTCTCTAACCACTTCTTTAACCACAATGAGCACTTGCTAAGATGAGGTTGATGCCAGTTCAGCGCAAATGTCCCATTGGCTACTTCTTGGCATAGGAGAAGTCCTGGCTCTGTGCTGAAAAAGTGGAAACATTAAAAGCCATCCAGCAATGGGCAACTTGAATTTTGGAAAAATGATCACAGATTTGTATTCAGGGGAAGCAGCAACATCTGGATCTTCAAAAGTTACTTATCTTGAAATGTGTATGGCATGTATGTATGTATCATCTGAAAGATCCTTACTTTCATGGTTTTCTTGATTAACCAACTAACTACTGCTTCTAATGTTATTAGGTAAAAATTCTTTGATTATCCTCCAGAGATGAGTGGTGTAGATGAGTTCTGAGTTTGTTTGTAACTAGCCTGAAATATATGTGGACACACATATGCACATGCACACACATCTCTCAAACAATATGTGCACCTCACACATCACTTGCCTTGGAGTGACCTGTGTAAAATCTCCTCTGATTTGGACTAGGAGACCCTTGAGGGAAGTCCCTGTTTTCTTTGACACCCATAGATCTAACAGTGCCTTGCTCACTTTGGATGTGCATAATTTTTGACAAATGGAATTCAATGAATCCCTTCAGGGATGCTGGGCATTACTGAGGCTTTTTTTATTATTATTTTTTAACAAACACATGTTCAGAAAAAAAGCCTTTCCAGACTGTAGAATTGGTCAGCCTTGAACCAACCTTGCACACTCTCAGACCCAGCCATTCCTGGCTGTCCAGCCTGATTTGCCCAAATTTTAAATGATCAGAACCTTTCTCTCTGAGTCTCAGGCACGCCCTAGGTCTCATCCACAGCCCAGGGCACTCTAAAACTAATGAATTCCTATAGATAGTTGTTTCCAGATATGATCCATCTCCATAAGTTTATGTGCTTTCATGATGTCCCAATGGACAGCAGTTATTTTGTCCTTCTGGCTTTGTCTCTGGCCTAGATACCCACCTGGATACCATCTGCTTCAAGCAGGATGTTTTAGTCAGCTTTTTTTTTTTTTTGCTGCTGTGTCTAAAGGATCTGACCAGAACAATTTTAGAGGAGGAAACATTAATTTGAGGGCTCATGGTTTCAGAGGTCTTAGTCCATAGAAGGCCGACTTCATTCCTTGGGGCTCAAGATGAGGCAGAACATCATGGCAGAAGAGTATGGCAGAGGGAAGTAGCTCACATGGTGGTCAGGAAGCAGAGAGAGAGACTCCACTTGCCAGATACAAATATATACCCCAAAGCCACACCCCAGTTTTGCTTCAGGTACCAGTTAATACTTAACAGGGGATTCATTCGATGATTAGTTTAAGGCTCTCACAGCTCAATCATTTCCCCTCTGAACTCTGTCACGTTGTCTCACACATGAGCTTTTGGGGGGATATCTCACATCCAAACCGTAACATAGGACATTTCTTCATTCTCACAGAGCCCCAACTATCTTAGCTTCAATAAACTAAAATGGCAGAACTGAAAATTCTGTAAAACCCTTCTGACCAATCTCAGAGTTTTAAGGATGAAAGCAGAAATCAAGAGGGGCAAGCAGCATAACCATAGTCCCATGTGGAGCCGACCAGGATACTGTTGCCACCAGCTGCTGCTGCTCCTCCTCCAGTGACTGTCCCCCACTGGGCCTCACCCCTGGTAGCTACAATGTAGGCTTTGTCTCTGCCCAGTGGATGCTTTGAGAAATCTCAGGAGAAGGGAGCCTCCTCATTTCCTCACTTGCTAAGGGAGAGACAGTGGTGATAGTCAGGGTCTGTCACAGGCATGGGTATGAGTGTAGGGGTGGGGAGACATGGCCACAGCAGAGCCTGGATCTTCACACTTGCTCACACTACATTTCCTCTCTCACTGTAACCCCCCATTCCTCCTTCACCTTGCTCTCCCCACCATTGCCCCCTCTTCTTTCCTGGGCGCGCTAGACCAGGCTTCTCTTACCACCTTTGTGTTTATTCTTCTGCCCATCCCAACCAAGGGCCCAGAAGCCATTCTGAGTTCCACAGTGGATACAACGTGCAACCACAGACAACTACCATCCTTCCTCAAGCAGAAGCTATAGGCTGTGGAGCAGTAACCCACATTGGATATCCCTGCAGCCCTGTCTTGGATTCAGGCATAGGTGCACCCTCCCCCAACCCCACTCCCTACACACACTCAGGCATCATTTCCCATGATTCCACCCCCTGCTGGCCAGATGGCTTTCTCCAAGACTGAGGACTCTCTTGGTTCTACTTAATAACCGCCTGGTAATTAGCTCCACAATTTTGCCACTATGCTTATAATAGCCTCCATTAAAGTTATGGGGTTTTCAAGCCGTAATGGCTTCCAAAGTAATTAATGCACAACTGGGTTTATTGCAAGTTTATTTTTAGAGCTTTTCTCCCTCAATCCCCTCCCTTTCCTCTCATAGATATTTTGACCAAAAACTAAATGAGTTCAGATGCTGCTGTGGCTTCTTGTACCATGTCCCTATCTTTTCCCTTTTATTTTTGCTTCATTGTCCAGTCAGATTCTGGGACCTACAACACAAGCAGTTGGGATGGAGGACAGTGGCTCTTGAACAGGTGTTTCTCCAGGCCAGAGAAAGCCTGTGGCCTGTATGTGTCCCCATGCCTGACTCAGTTCTGAGGGGTTCAGGCGTGCTCCTGATGATAGCATATAGCCACATAGCCCTGATTTAAAACTAACTGCACCATTTTCTAATTATTGACCAGGGGCAAATTACTTTCTCTGATTTCCATGGATCCAACTATAAAATCGGGATCATGATAATACCTGCCTCACAGGGTGGTTGTGAGTACTTCAGGGAGCAGATGTGTGTTAACTGTTGAGCTTAGTCCTTATACATCCTGAACACTATGGGAAACCTTGTTGTCATTAACAAGAGCCCAAGCAGACCAGTGGGAGGTTGAGCAGGTGTCAGAGGTGGAAGCTGTGGGATAAAGTGACTTCCCAAAGGGTAAAGCCTATTAAAAGCAGGAAAGTACTGACATGGAAGCTAGCCCCATATCAACTGAGTGGGTGTGGTACTCACTTTCTTTCACACTCCATCCTGGAATTAAAAGCTTCAGGAAAACCAGGATGTTTAAGAAAGCTTATATGTGAATCTCTAAGAACATAGAATAAATCTTCTCAGATGTTTTGGTAGCCTAAGTCAGGCCTAGCCTCCCCGTTTAGGTCCATTTTCTGTTACTATAACAGAATACCTGAGTCTGGGTGATACAAAAGGAAAGTAGTTTATTTAGCACATGATTCTCTAGAGGTTGAGAAGTCTAAGATTATGGTGCTAGTGAGGGCCTCATGCTGCTTCAACTCATGATAAAGCAGAAGGCCAAGCAAGCACAAATGGAAGAGATAAAACATGATGGATAGCCTTGCTTTATAACAACTTGTTCTTGCAAGGATGAACCCACTCTTGTGAGAAAGGCAATAATCCCTCCTAATAATATCATCACCTCTTAATGGGCCCACCTCTGTATAGTGCCACAACAACAAGCAAATTTCAACACATTTCAGAGAGGACAAACCATATTAAAGCATAGCACTCCCCATCCTTCTTTAGATGTAACATAAGGTCACATCAGCCAGAATATGGCATTTATGTGGAACCCTATAGAGCCCTGCCAGTAGCCTGCACTCTGATCCAGAGGGTGTGGCATAAGGTCACTCTGCTTCTCACACAAGACCCATAGCATTCTTATGTGCCACTAGGCTCTGTCATTTATAGGGTCAGCTAAGGAGTGCTGTAGAGCACAACAGCTCAGAATGATGGTTCCTCCTGCATTGGCCTCTGTTTCCTTTAACCCTAATGTTCTGTCACTTAAGGTAAGGCTGATGTTTGTATCTGCCCTTGCAGACAGATTCTGGAGGCAGTGGACCTTTGGTGGGAAGAGGTGAGCAGAGGTTGACCCAGGAAACCAGAATGGAAAGCAAAGTTTGGTATTCCAAAGGGCATCAGAAGAGAAGAGAAGACCTGAGAAGAATAAAAGCACACTACTTCCAAAACTGGGGACAACAAAATCCTGGTCATCATGTCCAAGTACAGAACCTGGCACTCATCCTGCATGGAGCAGTGCCCCCAAAGAATTTCCTATGGACAATAATAGAGGAATGCATTTGCCACATTTCTTCCCAAAACCTAACCCTAAAAGATCTCTTCCTTGTTTTTGAAGGAAGCCTCCTAACTCTATTGCAGTACCCAGGCTATGGGGGGGGGAGGAATCTGGGCCCACAAATTTGGATATCACAAAAGCAAACGTTTCTTGTACTCTTACATGGGAGACAACCCTAAGAGCTTTATGAACATCAACTCATTTAATTCTAAGCCTTGAGAAGTAGATACACAATTTTCTAGAAGAGAAATACTAAAGTGCAGTGCAGGGTTGATGTAACTGTGCAAAGATCACAGCTTGTGGATGAAACACTTGGGACTTAAACTAAGGCAGGTATCTCTGAAGCTGTGGCTGTAATGCCTATACCCTATTAATGGACCCTCAGCAGAGATGAGGTCTTCAGAGAGAAGATCAAGGAAGACTTCATTGAGAAACTTGATTCTATATGTCCCAGAATGGGGCTTGACTCTTGCTGGGGGTCCACACCCATGCTTCGGTCTCTGGCCATCCTCTTCTGCTCTCTCTTACAGGTGTCCATCTCTGAGGGTTCCTGACCTTGCCCCTGGACAACTTCCCCTTCTCAGACTCCTATCAGGCTGGACTCTGCAAACCTGCTTCCGCAATGGGTGGGTTGTGAATGCTGGTAAGACCTACTAGCCAGCGTTCAGCTTCTCTGTTCTCTCCATGCCTGGCCGGCCGGCCCATGCCTTTTCTTTTTTCCCCTGTGCTGCCGCTGCCCTGTGGCCACCCCTCTCCTGACCTTACCGCCACTCAGGTAATGAGGAGCTGTGGGCGCAGCCAGCCTTGGAGATGCCGAAGAGACGGGACATCCTTGCAATCGTCCTCATTGTGCTGCCCTGGACTCTTCTCATCACTGTCTGGCACCAGAGCACTCTTGCACCTCTACTTGCTGTGCACAAGGGTGAGCCCTGCCTACCCTCCCTGCCTAGTTCCCAGCCCAGTTTCCTTAGTGAGAGCTCCTTGAAAGAGCTTGTTACTCTCAGTTCCCTAGAGGAGGGGCCATATCATGCTACACAGGGCCACTGGGATTGTTCAGGAAGTAAAAGGGTGAGAAGCAAGCCTGTGGATATGCCTCTATTGTGATTTTGCAGGAAAGAAAGAGCTGAGCAAAACCTCTGAACAGGCTTGGAATTTTGACAGTTTGAATAATTTCAGTGTGTTCCAAGATATGACAGGTAGCTTTTAATTGTCTGGTACTGGTACTTGGTGATTTAGGATAGGGTAAGATTGGCTTGCAGTTTTTGATAAAGGAAGTGGGTGGGAGTGTGCCTCTGAGTTGGTTCGTTGGCATATGAAAAGTGGTTTGCAGACAATTGTTTATTATTTCTAGCTAGTCCTGGGAGAGGTAGCCCCTTCTCAGGTCTGTTAAGTCCCCAAGAAGCCAAAGCAACAACCAGGTGCCATAGCACACACCTGCAATCCCAGCTACTTGGGAGACTGAGGTAGGAGGATTGCAAGTTCAAGGCTGGTCTTCACAATTTAATGAGAGCCTGTCTCAAAATATAAAATAAAAAGGGCTGGGGATGTAGCTCAGAAGAGCGCCTCTGGGTTCAATCCATAGTACAACAAACAGAAACTCTACACACACACACACACACACACACACACACACACACACACACAAAATCAAATACAGAAAATTTTAAAACAAACAAACATGATTAATACTCACATGCAGAGACAACTACATATACAGTTTTACCTCCTGATCCCATGTGCAAAGAACAGGATCACTTAGTGGGGAGTGAGGAGGAAAGGATAGGATTTCTGGCCTGTATTATTTGTGTGTGTGTGTTTATTTGTTTTATTTTGGGTTGCTGAAGATCAAATCCAGCATCTTGTGTATACTAGGCAAGCACTCTACCACTGGACCAACAACCTTATCCTGTATTGTGTTATAGCACCTTTAAGAAGAGTATATAACTTGTCCCCTTTTCTTACTAAGAAAACCCTAGTATCTAGTGGCAGTAGGCCTGGAAAGAGGAAGAATCATATTAGGAGCTAGTGGAAGAATTGGGATTTGAACTACCTTCTCCCAGCTGAGTCCCAGGGTTGCCTTTCCCTCTCACACCTAAACACTTTATACCCCAAGGCTTCTATGTGCTCCACATCTGCCCTCATTGCTTAGCCTTCAGTCTCATGTTTTCATGTCCCCTCCCACTCCATCCCCCAATACACACACACATATGCAACACTTGGGGGAAGCAGCAATTCTACCAAAGCAAAGTGTCTTCTTTTCCCGCCCATGGTGCTAAGAAGGGACTCCAGGGCTTCCCACGTGTTCACATGCTAGGCAGGCACTCTACTAGTATTGAACTACCCCCTCCCCCCAGCCCAATGTGAACTATCTTACTTATGATCATGATAAAACAGGAAGGCACCCAAGCCTATCCCAGGGATGAAGATAGTGGTACTGAAGTAGGATCTGGGTTTCCACTATAGCCTGTACCTTAAGTGACTCAGATGCAGGCCATATCCACAAATCACAGCCTACACTGTGCTGCTTCACACAGATAAACATCTTGCAAACCTCTAGAGTTTCCTGAAGCTTTCAGGAGAAAGAGCTAAGCTTAAGATTGCTGTAGCCTCACTGCCTGTGCTGGACACTTTGGGCTTCTCTGATGTCGTCTTCTGCTGACCCCAATGCCTCTGATGCTTGTCAGTTTAGAACTGTTGTTATCCTGCCAATACATCATCCCAGAGGGGTTCAAACTACCATCTAGAAAAATGATGATAGTATGTTCATTGCTGGCAGAGCTAGGGTTGGAGACATTAGGCTGTTTTACTTCCCAAGGATGGTAACTTGACATTGTCTTCTCTGAACATTCCAAGAGGGATTGGGTGAAATCTGCAGTTAAATGACGTTAGGGTCTCAAGGAGGCCTTTATGTCTCAGAAGTGCAGAAGCCCGAAAGCCAGTGGGAAGGGCAGAGTACAGGTACAGAATCCCAATTCATACAGAACTTTCCCAGGGCAAATATTTGGGATAATCTGGACAGCAGAGCACTTGGCAAAATGGTCCTAAATCTCCTTTCCAAACCATGACTTCTAAGACTTTATTGACCATAGGATGAATTAAACCTAATATCTTTGTCAGAATCCTGAACACCCATCCCTCTTAGTTCAACCTAGTTTTCTTTTCTCAGTTCTACCCAAAACTTCTCCCAAAAAACCACTTTTGAAGACCTGTACTTGTGCTAGTCTCCCCCTGCCACAATATCTTCTCTGTAGCATGGGTAATAGACTCACAGCTCCTGTTATGTGTCTTGTGCCACTGGCCTGTGAGCACTAAGAGCTGGAGCAGGTCCTCTTCTGGGTTGATCCACATTAGATTCCACACCAGCACCCACACAGCTTGCATGCTGCTAACGATGGTGGAAGTTGAACAGAGGGAGGGAACAAAATGGTTGATGCCTAGCATCCTCTCTTTGACCTCGCTCCAGCCCTTTCATTTCATCTTTACTGAAACTGTATGGAGCCATGAGGAAGTAGGACAGCTAATGTCCTTCTACACACCAGGAAATGACAGCAAATATGCCTTGCAGTGCTCTGAGTCCTTCAAGTGTCTCGACTCATTAATCTACATAATAACTCAATAAAGTAGATGCTATTATTAGTTCCATTTTACAGTCACTGAAATCAAGGCACCAAAAGCTAAGTAACTTGTTCAAGGACATATAGTTAATAAAGACAGAAAGACAGGTTTCTAGGTCTGTCCTCTGGCCATGATCCCTCCACTGAGAGTATGTGAGCCACACTATCATTGCTACATGAGTTTTTCAAACAGAATGACATAATTTGGAAAGTAGAAACTCATTGAAAACAAGAATGCCATTGCTCTTGATTTTCCTTCTATAAGACTGTTCAATTCTCCATGGAAGAGGATGTCCAGCATATAAGAAATACCTAGGTCATTAGAGCTTCCTGCACTTGAAGCAAGTTGCCTGCAGGAAGTAATATCCCCATGTCTGGGACTGTTTACTCAGAGAGCAGGATTTGCAAGTTTCAGTGTCCCTGGTGAGATCCTTGAGGTGGAGACAATAACACTAATAGGGTGGTAGTACAGTGGTGTGCAGTTAATGTCTCAGATAGCTCAGTGAGTGTGCCAAGAAGGTGCAGATTAGGAGATTGACACCAAACCCTTGGAAGAAGTTAAACAGGTCTGTTTGTCCTTCTCCCCCCCCCTTTTTTTTTTTTGTATACCAAAATGGAGGAATATATGCAATCAGGAATAATATTCAGGTTTCAAAATTATTTTTACAATTATGGGTAAAACTCACTAAAACCCAATGCAATAATTAAATATTAGGTTCTGCACCAAGATTCTAAGAATTGATTATATATGGCCAAGGGGAAAGAGGCCCCACTTAACTGAAAGATTTGAAAAAAAAAAATCTGGGGCAAGTTAATATTGGGATCCTTCAGGATCCACAGTGTGCTGCAGCCATGAGATTAATGCTACCCTTGAGTTTTGTGACATCCCCACCAGAGAATGTGTCAGTGTCAATGTGCTATGTAGTTAGTTGCACCAGATAAGGAGGGCACTAGGGAAGGGAGGGTCAGGACACCATCATATAAAATCCAATGTGTTTAGGAACTGAGAGTACAAGCTTGGACTATGGCCAGCTGTACTCAAATAATTACAGGACTGTCTAATGTGAAGATAAGGGAGAGATTATTTCCATGTCATCTAGGGAGTTAGGGAAATCCCTGTGAGAATTCCAGGGGTGCAGATTTCAACTTTAATTCTAACAGGTCCCGCAGATAAAGCAGTATCCTGATGATGTTCCTGCAGAAGGGTAGAGAGGGCTATCTTAGTAGGGTAGTTGGAATCAGTGTCCAGTAATGGGGCCAGAGTCAGGCCAGCATTTGTCCCCACACCGCCTGTCTCTCATCTCTGCAGATGAGGGCAGCGACCCACGGCGGGATGCGGTGCCAGGCGCAGACTCAAGGGAGTACTGCATGTCCGACCGTGACATCGTGGAGGTCGTGCGCACCGAATACGTATACACTAGGCCCCCGCCTTGGTCCGACACACTACCCACCATCCACGTCGTGACGCCCACCTACAGCCGCCCAGTTCAAAAGGCCGAGCTGACGCGCATGGCCAACACGCTGCTGCATGTTCCCAACCTGCACTGGCTAGTGGTGGAGGACGCACCTCGTCGTACGCCACTGACTGCGCGCCTGCTGCGCGACACCGGTCTCAATTACACTCACCTGCATGTAGAGACGCCCCGCAACTACAAGTTGCGAGGAGATGCCCGTGACCCACGCATCCCACGGGGCACCATGCAGCGCAACCTGGCCCTGCGCTGGCTGCGAGAGACTTTCCCACGTAACTCCACCCAGCCTGGCGTGGTGTACTTTGCTGATGATGACAATACCTACAGTCTGGAGCTCTTTGAGGAGGTGCGGGAGGGATGAAGAGGAAGGAGAGTTGGCAGGCAGGGATTGGAGATGCTGATGGATGCAGGGCCTCTAGCAAAAAGAAAGACGCTGGGGAATTTTGGGTGTGGGTACATACACATAAGGAAACCCAGGAAAGGGGGTCGCCAGACTAGGGTGGGTGAAGACACAAGAGGACCAGGGAAGGGCATAGAAAATACCATATGTTGGCAAAAGTATCCTCCACTGGTTAAAGGCAAGAGTGGTGGTGGCACTCCTAAATGGCTCTGGCCTTAGAGGAGTGGTTTGAGGTCTTTGAGTAGGGCCATTTTATATGACAACCAGAAACCTTTTCAGTGGAACAGTTTGAGTTTCTTTGGAGTCCTGGGTCATGCAAGCCTAGGGGAGGAGGAGTCATCATTTCAGACAGATAAATGGCAACAATGAAATGTTTTGTGCAAGGGAGAAAACAGCAATTGGGTCACAATGAGAAGGTGGTCAGCTGGATTGGGAGTTGGGTCCTGCCTGCAGCCTAGAGGAGATTCCCTTTGCAGGAGCCCATCAGTTGCCATCTACAGGATGGCATATAGAGGTAGGGTGGGACTGTATTTCCCTTCCCCATGACTTTAAATGGACCCCACACATATAATTAATTGATTTCACCTCCCTTGGGGATGGGTGCCATTCAGTAGACTCAGGTGTTCTGACTCTGGCTTCCCCTTGTAGATGCGCAGCACCAGAAGGGTGTCCGTGTGGCCTGTGGCCTTTGTTGGTGGACTTCGATATGAGGCCCCACGGGTGAACGGGGCAGGGAAGGTGGTTGGCTGGAAGACAGTGTTCGATCCCCATCGACCATTTGCCATAGACATGGCTGGATTTGCTGTGAACCTGAGGCTCATTCTACAGCGAAGCCAGGCTTACTTCAAGCTGCGTGGCGTGAAAGGAGGCTACCAGGAAAGTAGCCTCCTTCGAGAACTTGTTACCCTCAATGATTTGGAGCCCAAGGCATCCAACTGTACCAAGGTAGGAATCTCGACAGAATTAATAACTGTAATGCAAGTGTTCCTATGACCATTAAGAGCCTCTCTACAGATCAGGGGCAAGGAAACACCTCAAAATGATCTTGCCTGTTTGAAACCCCCACTCAGGAAGATAGTTTATCTTCCACAATGAAAGTAGGCAGGGACATGGGAGGCGTGGCCATAGGGTCATAACCAAGAATTATTAGCCGTGCATCTAAATAAATGTGCTCTTTGCACCCCCACACACACAAACATGCACACATCATGGCAGATGCACACACACCTGTATATGCACACATACATACATGTGCACTCATACATACACACTTGTGAAATCTTGGGACTTGTCTATTTTCTATTCTATACATCTCATTTCCAACAGATATTTTGAATACATCACATGTACAAACAGCAAGAATGAGGGGTTAGGTAGAAATAAATAACAGCTGAGAAAGTCTTGATGGAACAAGGGTGGCAAGGGAGGGGGCAGGAGGACTACTTGCAGGATATAGGAGGCATCAGGGAGGTGGCAGAGTGAGGTTGAAAACCTGCCCTACTTTGTTTTGTGTCTCTGGACACACAGATCCTGGTCTGGCACACACGAACAGAGAAACCGGTGTTGGTGAATGAGGGGAAGAAGGGCTTCACTGACCCCTCAGTGGAGATCTGAGCCTCAGGATGAAGGTAGGAGGGAGACCAGGGAGGGCACTGAACTGCACAGCACAACACCAGGTTTGGGTGCAGCATCAGTCTCTAAGGGGTTTGCTCTCAGTCTTTCATCATGGAAAGACAGGGCAGATGTAGACAAGAGAGGAAGAGGTGTGGCCAAGTCTCCTTCCTTTTGGCCACCTTATGGTTAACAGGTGTCAGCCTTCACCCACATAGCTGGGTCCTTCTGCCACCAGACACTCCAAAAAATGTCCACTGAGATACTTCCTCATGACAACTTGTTATGGTTATGCTGGCCACATAACCCCAGCAAGGACTGCTATTTAGACATGTTCAATGCATTCCGTCATCCAAAGGTTATATTTTCTTCTTTTGGTTCCCCCTCTGTCAACTGGCTGTGTCAAGATCCATGCATTGCTCCATGTCAAAGCCACCATGGTTCTGTAGCCAGAGTGTAGCACACAGTGAAAGCATATATCCCAGAGCTCACTTTAGCACCCAGGCTTACCCTTTTCTGTTTGACCTAACTTTGCTTCTCTGTCTCTTTCTTCATCTGTGAAATTAGTTGCCCAGAATACTAAGAACAATCTGTGGCATATAATAAATACAATATAAGTGTCACCTATGTTGATCTGATTCTTTAAAATCCCTCTATTGAGGTAGTCTACATGATCTACCTACAATTTAGAGGTTCAGAAATGATTTCAGAAAAGCAAAGTAACTTATCCAAGGTGACATACTGGCACAAGTGAATTGTACTTGGCCATGCCAAGAATTTTGAGGGACTTTTTTTTATGATCCTACTTTGCTTCTTGAAAACACCTCTTACTTGGGACTCCCTATTTAGGTCATGCCACACAGAGGTGAGAGCTCAGGCAGTGGACAGACATCTATTCTCTGGCCCCAGAACATTTGTAGACTCCCTGCCCAAAGGGTCTACAGGGTGTCACTCTGCCTGTTTTGTCCCTTGATCTTAAGTTACCTTGGCTAGTGTCACTTAGAACAAATCAGTATAGAGCTTGGTATAGGGTTAATTCCCTATTTGTTAGTGGAAGAACCTCCTCAGGAAGATCTCCATTAGGGGCTCAACACTGAGCAGTTTACTACACTGGCTGTTCCCTGTCTGATTCCACCCTGAGCTGACACCTCTTTTGTTCCCCCTCTCCCTTCACAGGAGCCTCCTTCTTTGACACTGTTCTTGGCCTTCCATCCTCTCTCCACAGCTGATGGGCCCTCCAAGGCAGAGTCCTAAGGAACTACCATCACCTCCTTTCTATTCTGGGGGCTTTCAAAGAGAACCCAGCTTGATGACAGGACAAAGGACAAAATTTAAGCACAGAAATTCCAGACTTATTGTTCTCTCCATCCAATGTGACCAGGGAGCCTGAAAGACCTGAGGGCAAGGGGGTCTGGTTGCCAGCAAAGCCAGTGCTCAGCTCACCTCTATATAAGCAAGTGCCATGGGCATCCACGCCTGCCCTGTAATGTTGCTGGGGATGGGAGGGAGGTGAGAAGACCCTGCAGTCCAGTGGAGCATGGTCCTCCCTTGCTCCCTGCTCCTTGGCCAAGCATGACCGCACAGGATGCTCAGCAGGGAATTCCGAAGATAGAGAGCAACTCCAGGCATTGTGAATGCCCTACTCCTTGGCATCCACTCCTCCTGAGCACTGCTCCCAAATCAGACATACCTCTGGCTCTCCTCTGGTTCATGTTTACAGAGCATATAATAAGGCTGTCTTCTATCTCAACAGGTGCCCGGCCCTGCATGGGGGGAGCCTAAGCCTGTCAGTGGATTCCTCCTGTACCTCAGGCTGTGGTGGGAATGGACTCCCTTTCTCTTGCCCACTTTCCCCAAGCCTTCTTCTCCAACACTGGCAAAGGAGGTGGGCCTAGAGCCACACAGGTCACTGAATGACCTGGACCAAGAACAACATGACCCCCACTATCCATACACTACCTCCCCACCCTGCCCTGGGCTATAGCCCCTTGCCTGGCCCAGGGTGGGGAGGGAAGAAACCTTCTTCCTGTGGCTACTGAAAACTGCAGGCCTCACGGCTACAGTAAGCAATGGTAGGTGAGGCAGACAGCTCCTCCAGCCTTGAGAGTAGAAGGGGCTAGGAAAGTCCCCAACTTTTTTTTCTGCTCCTATTTTGAGGGATGAGAAATTAGACTGGAGAGATTTAGGGAAAGGGGGCAGGGATCAGTTGGACACTAAGGAAAGGAGACTTGAGCACAAACTGCTCATTCTAATTTAAAATATAAAAGGGGAAATAAAATCTCACTTCTCCTGAAGCTGGGAGCATGCAGAGCCGGCCCACCTCATATCCAGCTGTCCCCTCTCCACTCCAGAGAGAGAACAGAGTTGCAAACTGCTGCCTCTACCCAGGGAGTAGTGGCTCCCTGGTTCTCCCAGGGCCCTAGAGAGGTCCCTGGCTCTCTGACCAGGACAGCCCCTCTGGTGGTGATCACATGCTCCTGAAAGTTGGAAGCACAATTTTCCTCCCACGTGAAGGAAAAGTAAAGGGCCTGTGCCTACTGCAGAGGTGTTTATTTTTTAATTGCTAACAGCCCCTTCCCTTACTCCATTAAAATTTATAGGACAGGTCTGAGGGCCATGCAGAAACCACTCCTGGATGTGTGCTTAGGATTCAGTCCAGACACCTAACATTCAGAGTATAGCATTGGCTGCCTATTCTGAAATGAATATAACTTCCCACTGTATTCATGAAACCATCTGATTAAATCAGATCCCTGAATCACCTTGCAGGATGTTTTCCCCAACCTCTTATACTTTGGATATTGCTTTGGAAACTGACCCCTTGGCATCAAGTGTGATGGCATGGGACAGAGGAAGGAGGTGGGCATAGGGCATCCATAGATGAGTGAATTTATGTCTGGGCATTCTACTGCCTCATGAAAACTAGCCCTGAATACCAAGGTCAAATTGGCTGGTATGAGAACACCTCCTTAGCCAAAAACCTAGGGCTTATTTTCAGGAAATTAATAATGAACAACAAAATGAGGATTTTTATTTTATTTTATTTTATTGGCAGATTGCTAGTTCAGTTGTTTTCACCTAATATCCTCTCTTAGCTGCATGTATATTTATTTATAATTATAACCCTGGTGGACTGCAGCCTTCATCTTTGTTGGGAATGAGTTTGTTATAAGTCAGAATTGGGTCCACAATGACGACTTGTTTTTCAAACCCAGTCTGTTCCCTGCTCCATTGCTGGTGAGCCCCACCATAAAGAACTGAAGCCAGGGGTTAGGAGTTTCCAGGGCAGTGGCTGGGGTGAGGGGGAGCCCAGGCAGCTGCACCATCTGATCTCTTTTAATTTAACTGTATTTAATTTGTTTTCAAAATTAAAAGTCAAATATGGTTTTTAACAGTCCTAATTCTTTTCAGCCCTGCCTTATTTTTATTCTCATTTATTAACGTAACTATCCAACAATTATTTGTCAGGTGCCTACCATGAGCCAGCATTATTCTAGAAGCCAGAAAATGGCAGTGGGGGGGGGAATTATTTCAGATGGGATCTGCTGAAAGAAGAACAAAGCCAGTTGGGAGAGATGGAGAACAGTAAGAAGAGAGGCTCAGATTCTTTAGAGGGCAGTCAGAAGGCCTCTGAAAAGGGACTTGTTTTCCCTATTTATTTATTTCTGCTCTTATTAGTATATCTTATAGTTAATAACTATAGTTATACATAATAACTCTTTTGACATGCATGGAATATAATTTGTTCCTGATAAGGCAATTTTGAGTAAAGCAGCAATACCCCAACATGTAGTGTTCTAAGAAGAAAGAACTCTCCCTAGGTGGAAGAGTGCTTAGCTATGAACATGAGCACAAAATGTTCATAGCTAAGCACATCATGTGGCTGCAACAGATTGGGCAAGGGAAATGGGTGGAGTAGGTGTGACAGGTATGTGAGGAGGGTGCCCAGAACATGTTAGCTCCAAGATCCAGGGCAAAGCTTTCAGTTTCTACTGAGTGAAACAAGAATGCATTGGAGGGTTTGGAGCAGAGAACCTACATGATCTAACCAAACTTCTTCAAGAACCTTTCTGCTTTTGTGCTGATGACAAATGGAAAGGGCAGGGGCTGGCCAGGGAGGTAGCTTCTGCAACAATTCAGGTATGAGATGATGGTGGGTTGGATAAGGGTTCAAGCTTGGGGGCAAAGAGAATTGACTAAATTTTGGATTTGTTTTAGGATGCAGAGCCAACAGTATTTGCTGAGGGACTGGATGTGGGACATAAAAAGGAGCCAAAAATAATCTAAGCCATAGAATAGAATGGATATTTCTTGATATAGGAAAGAATGCAGGAAGGGCCACATGGGGTAAATCAGAATTCTGTTGCAGATGCTTATACATATACAGAAGATCATGAGAGGACAGCTGCCTGTGTACCTGGAGTGTGGGTATGGATGGACATCAGGGGCTATTGGTGTCAAAGTTGTTCATGACATAAGTCTCACAGTTGAGACCCCATGCAGTGAGTGTGGATGAAAGAAAGATGGAGCCCAATGAGTGAGCCCAGAGACCCCTGGAATTTAGGCTGGGGTAAGAGATGAGGTCTTCCAAAGAAAATAAAATGAGACCATAAAGAGATCTAGAAAAAACTTTTAGTGAATTTTGGAGAATAAGTTCGGCCAAGAGGTGCTTTGATAGGGAAACAGATAAAGTCAAGAATAAGAAGTTGCTACAGTAAGATCTCTTTTTAAGAAAGGGCTAATGCATAGGTGTACATAAAAGTGTAATTTAGGGAACTGTTCACTTTCCAAAGAGATTTTCTGTAAGAGTTCCTTAAATTCCAATCTGCTGTCACAATTCCAAGTGTCCAGCTTTGCAGAAATCCACTCTTATGTAATACAAGACAAAGTGACACTGTGACATTGCCCCATGCCTCAGGCCATACTCAAGTAGCCCTCAGACTGTCCACATCTCACTTCAAAGCTTGCTATTTCAAGGAATCACATAAAGAACTGGTAAGCTTGGACAAAATTAGGGACTCTGGCCCTGTCTTTCTCTCCAGTCACTGTCTGCAACCATCATGTTAATAAACTCCACTTCCCTCCTCTTAATGGCACATGCAGGCCATACTGACTGCCACTGATCTTGCTGGGCTCTTTGCTCCATGGTTGCATTATAGTATCAGTGCCCCTCTCAATGCAGACCTTGTGCTCACCCACACACAGGATGCAACTGGTCACCCTGTAAGCCTTTTTGCCCTGTCATAACCCACTTTTACTGAACTCCTGTGTGGGTGCTGTGCTCAGAAGGTATGTGCTATTTGACTTTTAACTATTAGTGAAGATAATTAGTTTGGTGCAGTACATGCCAGATGTGGTTCACAAAGAAAAACTGCCTTGCCCCAACCCACCCTCCAGCTAATTCATATGCAATACTCTTGGCCATCCAGAAAATTCTTATCCCTGCCCACCAGCATGAGAATGGATTTGTATTTGATCTCTCCTCTCGAGGGGCACTTCCAATCCAGCCACATTTCAAGCAGAATCAAGGTCAGATGAAGTGGTGAGAAGACAGGGGTGTGGACCAACAAACAGTTGGTGTGGTCATAGTCTGGATCCCTGAGGGCCAGGAGGCTAACTATATTCCTGATCCCAGACTGCCTTCTCCACTGGCTCAGAGTGGCAGAGATGAGACCAGAGACATTGGCAAAGAGAACTTGATTCAAATCTATTGCTTTATTGCAATCCAGGAGAGTGAACCTGAGTTAAACAACTGGACTCTAGAATCTCTAAAATAAGAACCTCCAATTTGGACATGGAGACAACTGTGGAGGAAGGTTGCCTCTCCCCCCCTGCTAGTTAGTTACAGTGGAAGAGAGTTTACCAAGTTGGAGGTAAGGCCTGGGTTAGGCCTGGAGGTTTTGTGACTATCCCCAAATTCCCAGGGAGTGTGGGTCACCTGCCCTATGACATTTAACTGGGCCTTCTGTCCTTTCCCTCCTTGGAAGTTCAGATATGGGCTGTGATTTCCGGTAGGATCTACATTTCCACCTCAACTGATGCATCTCCCATTGAGTATAACTGGAAATGCTGTCTAATTCAGGAAAATTAGTGGATAAGTATTTCCATTTCTCTTAAACTCAATTTGTCATCCTATCATATGCAGTGAGTGGGAATGGAAAGGAGAAAAACACAGGTTATTTCTCAAACAGTTCCTTCCAGAATCCCAGAGGCAGCTCAAAGTGGTAAAGAAAAATAAAACTGACTTAGGTGAAATGCCCCTTCTTCTTTCTCATCTACTAATAGCGACAAACCCATGATTTCAGGAACAGAAAGGGGCCATGCAGGATGTGGCCAAGCTCCACAGAGAATATTTGAAGAGCATACCCTATGTCCAGAAGACTAAGCAGCAGGGCTGTGATGACTAGTACAGGGGAGGATGCCCTCCTATCATCAGCACCTTTTCTGAGGGCTCAGGGTTTCATCACTTTGTGATCTAACTAAACATGCCTATCCCCTCAGAGACATCGCTCTGGCCTCTTCCAGAAGAGCAGGGAAAGGCTCCATCCACGGAACCAGGCTGAGAAGCCATCCAGGTCTGAGGGCCCCAGGGTCATTCCATCTTTCTTTTCAGTATTCCCAGGACTAGAGTTTCAGACTGAAGCACGGAATAAATTAGTTTTGGGCTCCCTGAGGTTGCTACTACAGAGACACTCCTGTAGGGGAGTGGAGGAGGCAGCAGCTCACCAGGCAGGAGGTGCCAGGGCTGCTGCTTAGTGAATGTACTGGTTTCTGCCCAGGTAAGGGGTGTCAGTAAACTGTATCACAGAGCCTGCCATCACCTCCTCAAAAATGATGATCTGTGGGGGAAAAGAAGGGCTGAGTTATGAGGTCTGTCCTGGAGCCAGATAAGGAAGCCAGGAGGGATGGAAAGGATGGGTTTGGGAACCAGACTGGGAGGAACTGGAACAATAACTCTGGAAGGAATAGGCTACCTGAAACTTCTGCCCTCTCCCAAAGGGCTCCCAGGGAGGCAATCTGATGCCAGGTGCAAGGATGGGAAGGAAGTTATGAGTAAAACAGGAGGAGGCTAGAAGTGTGCCCACCTGGTTGTTTCCTCTGAACAGCCAAGGACCTGGTAGGTAGAGGGTCTCCTGGGGTCCAATGTTCCAGTAACGTCCAAGGTTTTGGCCATTGACGAATATAACTCCCTTCTCCCAGCCCTTCAAACAGAGTAGAGAGTGTGTTAGTCTACTATGAGAGCCACTGATGACAAAGTCACACTAGAAGGCAGAGAAGACATATCAGCTGTGTTCTTCACGCAGGGCACAGTGGTGCAGGCTTGTAATCCCAGTGGCTTGGGAGGCTAAGGCAGGAGGATCGCGAGTTCAAAGCCAGCCTCACCAAAAGTGAGGTGCTAAGCAACTCTGTGATACCCTGTCTCTAAAAGAAAATACAAAAATAGGGCTAGGGATGTGGCTCAGTGGTCGAGTGCCCCTGAGCTCAATCCCTGATACTCACCCACTGCCAAAAAAGATGTGTTCTTCACTCAGTTTCCAAAAGACCAAAGTAAGCCAATGTTCAACAGCCACGGAGACTAACAGGTGGCCTGTTCCACCTCATCTCCACTAGCTCTGAGCCTTCTAGGCAGAACACACAATCCCAGGCTGGATTAGGAGCCTGGGCCCTGATAAGTGTCATCAGGTGGTTCTGCTTTGAGCTCCCTCTGCTGCCCTGGAAGGCAGGTGTTATATAGTACTCCATCAAGGCCAAGCACAATGGTATTTGAATCAGCCCTCTGAGAAAACAGAAGAAAGAACCACGGAAAGGTAAAGGGGGCTTACAAACCTCCAGTTTCAGAAACGTGTCAGAAGGGGAAGAGCCAATTACAAAGCCACAGAAGAAGAAAGCAGGGAATGTAGGTACATCAGGGATATGAGTCCATTTGTCAATGCTGAACCTAAAGATGGAACAGGGCAGGAAAGGGAGAAAGGGGACTTTCTTAGATCTGTTCAGTTCTGTACCTAATTCCTAAGAAATGTCCCTTCTTTGTTTAAAGCTCCCAAGTTCCCTACTTCTTAACCAAAATACAAGAAGGGCAGCAAGGTAGTATAATGAGCATTCTCCTAGTCTGCAAATGCAGGTTCTAATGGTGGTACTGTCCCTTACCTTGGACAAGCCACCTTGGCCTCTGAGTCTTAGAATCTGCAGGATCCTGGTGGGGTGAGGCTAGGGCTGTGCTCGCTCTTGCTGCAAATTATTATGAGCTCACATAACTGGTGTGGGGCCAAGGACCTACCTCTGAAAGAAGCTCTTTTTCATGTCTAAGCTGTAGATTCTGAATTTTTTCAAGGGAGAATCATTCAGATAGAGATTTCCAATTATGCCTGTGGGAAGGAGGCAAAGAAACATGAGCAAGTCCAAAGGAAGAGGACCTAGCTATGACCAGGGCCATGCATGGAAAGTTTCTAGAAAGATTTTTCCAGGAAGATTTTTTCCCAGGAAGAGGGAGCTCAAAGCAAGGAAGATTTCTCCTGAAACATATACTACCTAAGGAGCTCAGCAATCGTAGTATAAGCCCCCCCCTGCCCCCGCCAGAGATGCCAAGGGACATAATAATAAACAAGAATATTATATGCCAGGCCCTAGAATTTACCATGGAAGAATAATACATGTGATGATAGTGACAAAGCTGAGCTCTCACAGGGGTGAAAACAAACTCTGACCTCTCTCTGAGAGAAACTCTACATGAACAAGAGGTGCCAAAGGTTTGGGCCTAGCTTTAAGGTAGTGTCAAATAGGATCTCAGACTAACAAACCTAACAATTTAGTCAGAAATTTTCTACCCAACCTTGAACTAAAGACAGGTTTTTCTTGAAATTGTGAGAAAATGGCAATATCATTTGGGTATCCAACACTGAAGAACTGTATACACCCAAATAGTTACGGATCAGCACCTTCGGGTTTGCGTCAGCTCTATAGATTGTGCAGCAGCCCCCAAGGACTCTGTATAGTGGAGCTGCTGAGCTGCTAGGCTAGGAATTTTGAGAATCTGGAAAAGGTAAATAGGCTTCACAGGGACTGTAGATACTCTTAAATGGCCCACAAAGGAGTGTGTGTGTGTGTGTGTGTGTGTGTGTGTGTGTGTGCGCGCGCGCACATTTCTAGAGTGGAAGTCTGTGACTTATACATATTGTATATGGTCCAGAGGCTAGAACTCCACAATGAGGGTCAGGACACACTTGATGAGCGTCTTGGAGAAGCAAAGACTGGCAACAAGGGTCAGAGTGGAAGGTCCTTCCAACCCCTAGGAGAACAAAGGAAGCACCATGTGCCCAGAGATGAAATGCCAGAAAAGGCACCAAGAGGAATGTTGGGGAACTATTTCAGGAAAAGGAAGACAAAGTGGGCCTGGATAGTGCTAGAACCTATTCTGAGGCCCTTCCAGAGGAGAAGCCCCAATGTCTCATCACATTATATCCTTGGCAGGGTACCAGAAGGCTCTCTGCTGAAAATCTGACCAAGGGAGAGATGCGCAAATTTCCTCCACTACAAACACAAACGGCTGTGACAGAATTGGAAGGTCATCAGTCCTCCTCAACACAGCAGGATTTATTTCATCTGAGTTCTTTTCTTTTTTCTATGACTTACTTAAAACACCAACATTTAGACAGACAGATAAAAGAAAGAAAGATCTAAATTAAGGCATAAAAGATTAGAAGGCCAGAAAAAGAGAGTGAATTGGTGGGATATTCCTGGAAGAGCATGTGGACAAAAGGCATTTGGTTTATTCTATATCCTGCTTCCTCCTCCTCACCACTGAAAAATGATTTATGGATTTCCCTGAAATGGATGAAGAAAAGAATTTCAGTGTGGAGACCTAAGAAGGCACTGGTGCTATGACCTCCTTTGGATTTCTAGAAATCTCTTTCCTTGATCCTTACCCACTACCCAGAAAAGCAGACTTCAGCCCAGAGAGGGACTAAGGTTAGCTCACTGTTCATGGGGTTTCCTCATGAGCACACAGAAAATACAAGCATGGGGTGTTATAGGGGAAAAGGTCAGCTAGGCTTTTCTGACCCACTAGCCTTGTCTCACATATAGGTCAACTCAGCTTCCACCTCCTGCAGTGTGCCTTCATGATCCACTTCCCTCCAGTGGGCTTCCAAGACCCATTTCCCTGCACTGTGCCTCCCTGGCCCACTTCCTTACAATGTGCCTCCCTGGCTCACCTCCCTGCAGTGTGCCTCCATGGCCCATCTCCCTGTGATGGACCTCTATGGCCTGTTGATGTGCTATATGGAAAGGGGGAAACCCTGTCTGAGAAGCAGTGGCACCTCTTCTCACTTGTGCTAGGACCTACCTTTGCGCTGATCATCAATATTATTCCCGTAGTTGACTCGCCCACGATTCTCCACCAAGATCCTCAGAAAGGTGTAACCCTGCCAGGAACATAGTGGCTGATGATCGCCTGATACCCAACTATGAGGTCACTGCTGCACCTGGGAGTTGGTTTGTGGACCCCAGTTCTTCCCTATGCTCTGAGGATGGGAGTAAGAGCCCCGCTGGTAAGAAAGCATGCTCGTTCCTCTCCATCCACAGCTTGTGGTTAGGAGGCTCCTGTCTTCCAGGCCTTCCTCTTTGACTCCCACCAAACTTCCTTGGAAGCAGCTGGGGGCTAGCCATCACCCTGCTCCCTAGGATAACAAACCTGAATCAAGGGGATAACAATCTTCGTTGTTTTATAGTCCATGAATCCTATGGATACTGTGTCCACAAATACCTGGCAAAGAGAAGATGGAAAGCATCCATGGTCAACAGGATGGAGGATGAAACAAATAGGTTATACCATGTGTGTGCATGCTTAGGAGGAGGCTTAGCCAGGCATGGAGGAAGAAATGTACATGGTCACAGCTGGAAAGTGTCACCGAGATGACAGGGATGGGCAACTTTACATACTGGCAATAGCTGATTCTGAGGGCAGAGAGAATAAGATGTATAATACAGAGGCTGGTCACTAAAAGGTCCAGGAATCAAGAAGAGATGCTCCTACCTGTCCCCGATCACGTACAACACCACTAAGGGTGCCAGATGAGGTGATGACGGTCTCATACAGAATGTACCCAAAGGCCTGTCCATTCCCATCATTTACTGGCAGGTTCTCCATGTTGATGGGCTTTTCAGACTTGATTGGCTGCAATAGAAGATAGCAGAAAAGCATAGGGGCCAGGCTTGCTGCCTTGCCCTGAACCACTGGCACATGAAGTAGCAAACAGGTCTGGCCTGGAAGGGAGCACACTGGAGGAGAAGCTGTAAGAGAAGCTCTAACCTCCTTTTTCTATTATGACTTACTGCATTAAACCTATGGCTCTCCAGAGTTAGAGGGATGAGAAAACAAGGAAAGGGGAATGCCATGAGAGAAGAAAGCCTTGCAATCTAGTAGATATCTAACTCCTTAAGACACTGTCATTTTTGCATTACAACATCCCTTAGTGAGCTGCAGGAGGTGCCCCCTCTTCACAGAGGAGGATTCAGTGCATTCCTTGGCCTCTTCCCCTGCTTCTGCCCCTAGAGAAATATAGCTCTAGCTCCAAGCTGGAGGAAGACTCCCATTGTTTTCGATTTCTCTTGTTCCTTCCCACTGCACACTCTAGCACCAGTTTGTTTTCTTCACTCAGTTCTTAAGTTGGAAAGGAGATCTCTAAGCCTTCTAGAATTGGCCTTGCTCTTCCCAGTACCTCCCAATCAATTTGGAGAGTTTCTGGGCCCTGCTCACCCTCCCAATGACTGTCCTTGCTTCCCTGGCCCACAGTACTCACCTCCCCTATGAAACTGAGGACATCCCACAGTGATAGGTAGACAACTGGTATCAATGGCTCATAGGTCATCTTGGGAAGAGGTTTAGGAGGGGGAGGTAGAGGGGCATCTACAACAGACAGACAACACAGATATCCCTAAAGGACCCAAATATCACTGCATCCAATAATATTTTATCCATGTGTCCCATATGCTCCTTTATCCTGGTACCAGTAGTAACAACAGACTAATTTCAGCATATGCTTAGATGGTTCTAGGAGACAATGCCTAGGGGAAGTGTGGAGCTTTCTCACGTCTTCCATATGAGATAAGGAGTCTTAATGCCTCTATAATAGAAAGGTGAAACTGGCAAGATGCACACTATATGAAAACAGCCTCTCAAATCCTCCTTGTCTAGAACGTTCCTGCATACAGGTCAACTAGGATTGAGATGAGATTATGAGAAGGTAACTCTTTAAAGGGCTGAGAAAAAAAGCAATTTGCCAAGTGGGAGCTTCATTCCTCTTCTTGCTGGTATTAAACTGCTAGCTGGTACCTGAGAAGGAGCCGAAAAATTCTCGAAGCTTTGAATATTTGGCTGTATAATCTCCAGCTTCTGTCAGCACAGCATCATAGTCTGAAAGATATCCATGAACTGGTCATAGTCATTCCTATCCCTGGAATAATAAACACAGCAGCAAAGAAGAGAGAAGCTGGGGTAGGGTAGTAGGCTTCTTGGCCCAGCCATTTTGAAGGCAAATCACCAATAGTATGAACCACTCAGTCAAAATACTATAAATTCTAGACCCTATAAAATAATATAAAAGTTACCCATAATCACAACATGAACCTAAATTTCTAATTGCAGGTAGATAAAATGAGGCATCTTTCCTACCCTTTGGGGACTCTCAATCTGAAGGGGGGACACTTCAGCAACACATTCTCAAAAGCCTGAGCAGTGAGGAGAAGCTGCCCATCACCACAGACCCTTCCCTTCCCTTTCTCTAGTACACTTCCTCCAAAGAGCTGTCTCACAGAGTAACTGGCTCACAAGCACCAAGCATCTTGAGTCTAGTCCTGCTCTGGAACTTTAAAAGTGACAATTTGAACTATGCCTCTACCTTCCCCAAGCACTTTATAATCAAAATCATTAAAGGTGCCAGATATTGTCCCTAAAGGACTCTCCAAAAAGCCCCAGCCCTGAAGATGCTGGGAAGAACCAGTATTAGAGAATACTTGCCATAGCTAGTGACATCAGACTTATATTCATGAAAATGCATAGCTCCATTTATAAAGCCAAAATTGGTTCCTCCATGGAACATGTAGAGGTTGATGGATGAGCCAGCATCAACGATGGCAGTCACTGTTTCCAGAACTTCTACAAAAGGAGGGAGAAGGAGGGATGTGTGAGAGTCTAAGTCCTAAATACTCCCTTTGATACTCTTATTCTTAAACCTCCTCAAGGTCCACTTCATCTCTCTGCCCTTCAGTTTTAATGCTCCAACTACAGAAGATTAGGAAACAAGGAAGAGAAGTGGGCCTGAATTCATGGTCTGGAGCTTGGGCCTCTAGTTGCATTTAAATTCTAGTTGATTCTATTAACCACCATAAGAACAACCTACAACATAGGCCTGCATCCCCTGCCAGCCAGTGTGAGTCCCAGAAGTTATTCTTTTGGTAAAAATGCAAAAAGATAGTGCTTATTATCAGAGATACCATTCTGACTGCCTCCAACAGTCCTACCTTAATTAAGAAATGAACCAGTGACATAAAGAGATAATATTGAAGAAAAAAATAAATGGTTAGTATGTATTTTATTAATATAAGTCAAAGAAATGCAAACTAAACAATAACCTGTCAGACTGGTAAATATTAAAAATTATTTTAATACTGGATGTTGATGAATCTGTAGGATATAAGTACTATCAATTAATAATGGTGAGTAAAAACTGCTACTATCTTTCTGGAGGTCATTTTGACAAATACACATTAAAATTGCATTAATATAATAATTCTATTGATTATCCATAAAAAATAATATACCAAGTATACAAAACTGAACATTCAAGGATGATAAGTGATATGGTGTTCAATTAACCAAAGCCACTGAAAACAACCTAAGCATGTATCAATAAGAGACTAGGTCAATAAATGGTTGTACAGTTATTAATCCAAAGAGGTTCTTTGCATTCTTTAAGCTGGTGATATAAATCTACGTACAATATTATAGAAAGCTGTCAATTTGTGTCATTAACTGGCATAAGTAGGTGACAGGGTCATCAGGATCTGACTACACTGTCTAAACCCTAATCAACTAAAAAACAACTGCAATGTTTTCTCTGGGCTCTGAGATTTTTACTTCATTATACTTTTCTATAGTTTCTGTATTTGAAATAGGTATGCATTATTTTTCTAATTACAAAAACATAAAACATACAAAAGCAATGTGGAAAGTCCTACTGTTTATTTCAAGTGTCAAACAAATGACTCTGAAATAGCAATAGCTGACTATTAACACAAATGATCCTAAAAGTCTTGCACACTACAGCTCCATATATCAACTAGCAGATTATTTAAAACTCATTCTTCCTTCTTAGGTTAACAAACATGCTGGACATAGCCAATGCCAAGTACTCACCAGAGGAATCCAGGATATTGTGTGGGCCTCCCCATGAGTCAAACCACCCTGTCCAGTACTCCATCACCATCTTAGGCTGAATCCCCTGGGTACCACAAAATGAGAGTTAGACAGGCAAGCTGGCCAAAGGGAAAACAGAAACATCATTCCTGGAGGGAAGCCCAGGACCTCTCTTCTCCCATGTCTTCCCTGGCTTTACACCCCTTGCCTGAGATGCCAGTGGGAGCAGAGCACAGACGAGGATGGTTCACCCACCATGTTTGGCCTCCACACCTCGAGGTGTAGAGTGGAATAGACAACCAAAGTTGACATAGTACATTCTGATGCTTAATATGCTCTTAATGATGCTTACAGTGGATGCTAATGTATTAAAATTAGGTCTCACTAGCATTCAGCGTCTGTTTTGAAAGACTTTTCCTAGCTTCGATTGCTTTCTGGATCATGCCAACCTTTGCCTTATCCCCTTCCAGGAAAGGAGAATGTTGTATCCATTATGACTTCATACCTGAGAGGTACCATAGATCCAGACCCCTCTGAGTTGCTGCTTCTTTTTAGCCAGGAAATTCAGGCAGCTGCAGACTGGGCACTTTTTTAAGGCTTAGCTTAGTTTAAACAGTAGTTGGCAAAACTAGATCAGAAAATCAGAGCCTTACAGCTTAGCTAGTCATAGTTCAAGTCACGGTGTATATTCATACTTTGGGTGGGACATTCAGCAAGTCTTAAATATTATTTTAGAATAATGATTTGGATGCATGACTGCCTCAAGCATGCAGAGATCATTTGCAGGACCAGGGGAAATATAAGGACTGATTTGCTAGAATTTCAGGCTCTGTACTAAGGAGTCCTCATTACTCCTTCAGTGACAATTGATCAAATATCCCCTCTGTCAGTTAGAGCAATGAAATCTGATGCAGAGTGATAAAGAAAACTTATAATCCACTGTATATAACATAACAGCCATTCCCAGATAAAAGCCAAAGTAGTAACAATATTTATTTATTCATTTTTAAAAGCAAGACTGGTGACTTGGCATGGATGGCACAAGTCATCTACCTCCCCCCAAAAGAACATATACTGGGGGCTGGAGTTGTAGCTCAGTGGTGGAGCATTTGCCTGGCATGTGTGAGGCTCTAGGTTCAATCCTAAGCATTGTATATAAATAAATAAAGATCCATTGACAACTAAAAAATATTTTAAAAAAGAGAGAGAGAGAGAGAAAGAGAGAGAACGAACATATACTGTACTATATTTAAATCACCCAAAAGGAATAAGCAGATACTAAGTCCCACATCTCAGGATTCTCCAGTGCCAAGTGTAGACTCCTTGATTCACAAGTGCCAGGAGCAAGGAAAGAGGGTTCCATCATGACCCAGGTCACTGCACTGTAAACGTGAAGACCTGGAGATCTTCATCAGACCTATAACTCCTAACCAATCACTTAATGGGTATTTTATCCATTCCAGGTCTATCTCTTAACCATGAAATAGTAATAACAATAATTGGTGCCTATGACTAGTGGGAGAGCTGAAAGAGACAGCACACATAAATCCCTTAGTACATAGTGCCTGGCATACAGGAAGTGTTAAAGAAACATTTTAAATACCTTCATCATTGGGCATGAACATAAGGATGAGTGAAGTGCTACTGTATGCCCCAGTTAGCCAGAGCTGGAGCTTATAGTGTTCATTCAAGTGAGCCCTTGACTTAAACAAGAAAATACCCAAGGCTACTTCCTTAAGGAAAGCAAACATTCTTAAACTGTACAGAAGAAAGTCCATTAGCAGTGCCATTCTGTTGACAGGGCAACTTGGCATGGATGGCACAGGCATGGCTACCTTTCCAGGATGACCAGCAGAAGGTGCATACTTCTATCAGCTGCCATGAGGTACTTAAAAAAAAAAATCTTGCTGAATCCACAAACAATTCTATGAGTTGAGACTCTCATTAACCCTACTTAACCAAAGAAGAAAGAGAAACATAGAAGTTAAGTGACTTGCCCATGGTCACATATTAGAGTGGCCAAATGGGTGCGGGGGTAGTTCACAGTATAATGCACTCAAGAACACTTCTATTTAGCCATCATGAGACTGCATATTCCATATGTCTCTCTCCTCCCAAGTACAAACTCCATGAGAACAGACCCTGTTGTCTGTCGTAGAATGTAATAGATTCTAACAACATTCCAAGCACAGAGCTGGCACTCAGGAAATACTAGAGGAGAAAGGAATTCAACCTCAATCCATCTGTATCCATTATCTCTTCCAACAGAAGTCCACCTTGGGTTAGGCCCTATCCATCTCCTCCAAGGAACCTTTCCACCCATTCTGGCTATTATCTATGCTCCAGGAGTAGCCGTACCACACACACATACATATGGCCCTCATCCTACAGGGCCTCATTCTGCCAGCACCATGCTTGAATAGCTGGAACTGAAAAAACTTTGCATCTCCCCAGTGTTGATACAGACATTCTAATAGATCCCCCCACTATTATCTGGGGATCAATGTGAATATGCAACAGATGGGGGTATTCACAACTTCTAATAAGTCAGAGTGAAAGAAGCAGCTTCTCAATTCTGGGGACAGGCCACAGTTTGGACCAGATCACATCAACCTCCTTAGGGGAGATACAAACCCAAGAGATCAATTGTAGCATATTGAGTTGTACATGACCATCAATCTGATGATGCTCGGATACAGATAGGAACTCTTCTCTCTCCTCCTTACCTGGAATGGATCAGGCTTCTTGCCTTGCAAATGATAATAATCTTTCTAGGTTAAGGTCAGATACCTCATATGGTACAGCACAGGGAAGAGTTTCTCTTCCCCCTTAATCTAAAGCAGTCTGGGGCTCGCAGAGTTCACAAATTCAAGGACTACACAAAGGTCCCTTTCTCAGAAGGTAGCAGATCTCACTCATGCTTTATCCACCTGCACAGCAATCCTTTGGAGTAGTTTATGAGCTGCTTCCTTTGAGGTGTGCAGCAACAGAACCATGAGCTGAAAGACTGAGAAAGCTCAGATCCTTCTCCCCTATGGGGGGGGGGGGGGGGATGCTGAGCAAAGTGGCAGGCATAGAATCTCTGAACTTGCTGAACAATCTGTACAGCTTTCCCTGTGCCAGCCTTACCTGGACACTCATGAGAAAGGTGTTCATTAACTGCAGCTCCTCTCGTGTCTGTAAGTTGATGGTGGCCAGTACTATGAAGACAAAAGAAGAGAGAGAAAACATTCTTAAAGTCAGGAAGACTTTCTGAATTACCTTAGACCCTTCTTCATCTACCAGCATAATAAATTAACTAGTCTTGACATTGTTTCCCACCTCTGATGGCAGGAGACCTAGCTCTTTTATCTTGAAAGTTCCTCCACTCAGCACAAGCTGGCAAAGTTAAGTTGCCAAGGCTGGCCTCAAACTAGCGATCCTCTTGCCTCAGCCTATGGAGTCACTGGAATTACATACAGATGTGCACCACTGTGCCTTGAAACAATAAAAATGTAAAAAGGGCTTGGAGGTATAGCTTGGTGGTAGAGAACCCCTAGTTCAATCCCCATCAATCCCCAGGACTTAAAAAAAATGCAGAAATATTAGTAGATAAAAAGTGCCAAGAAAATCTTGGAAAACTGAAAAAGAACAGAGGAATAGTAAATGGCCCAAGAGAGTGAAAGGAGTTTCCACCATCTCCTCAGGCCTCACCCCACTGAGCCCCAAGCTTTGTGCTCCATGCAGGGGGAGAATACCCGTCTGCAACATAGCAACATCATGTCCGGGTCCTTGAGTTTCTTCAGCACCCATGCCCATTGGCTCAGTGGGGTTCGTGTACTCTTAGAAAATTGTTCTCAAGGAGTGTGGAGTGAGAGGTGGGAGAGAAGACCAAAGACTACTTTGTAGAAATACCAAGAGTACAAAAGAAGGGCCATAAACAGGCCATTTTGACCAGACCACTACAGGGAAGGATGCCTTTCTGCAGTCTTACCCCACTCTCTGAGCTCCAAGAGGTTGTTTAGTGCCCCCCCCTTTTTTTTCTTTTTTACTGCTCTGTAAGAGCCAGACAATTGAAAATATCCCCTCACCTGGAAGACTGGGCAGAGCAGGAAAAAGGAAAACCAGGTAAGCAGAACCAATGAAAGGAACAAATAAAATGTTAAAAATAAAAAAGATGAAAATATTCTCAGAAAGAGTTAAGAAAGACAGTACACATTTTTAAAGTATGCTAAGAGAAAAGAAACTTATTTAAGAAAAATATAATCTAGGAAGTAATAGAAGGATTAGAAAAAAAAGTTGAGGAAATACCTATAAGCAGAAAGAAGTAGAACTAAATAAAGAGACAAGAAATGGAAAAACCAAAGACAGAGAGAATCAAAATGAGAGTTCATATACAAATAACAGGAATGAACAAAAGATCAGAAAAAAAGATGATAAAGCATTATGAAAGAAACCCAAGGCCCAAATGAATGTCCCAGCCTTGATGGACATAACTATGCTAATTCAAATACATCTCCGAAATGCCACAAAAATAAGATGTATCATAACAAAGCGCATCATTATGAAACACCAGAATATCAAGAATAAAAAGAAAATTCTAAAATGTTTTACAAATGGGGGTGAGAGAGAAAATAGAATATACTAAAAGATTATTAGCCAGAATGTCTCTGGGCTTCAGTGCAGCAGTGGTTGCTAGAAAATGATAGAACAATGTCCAGAACTCCAGTAAGCAGGATCCAATACAAGAGAAACACACAGGTCAGTCTCAGGATGTTCCTCTAATTGGTCACCAGTAGATCAGAAATACAAGAAACCAGGCCTCCAGATAGCCAGATAGGACCTGATATGGGATCTGATATGCACAGGCATTTGAAAAATACCAATGATGGGTGTCTAGAAGATTTTAGAAAAGACTGTGTTAAAAAAAATAAAAAGGGTGCAAAGGTTGGAGATGGCAGAAGGAATAAAAGAGAAAAATTAAAATGAAAAGACAAATAAATAAGAAACTACTACCTTGCAAGTGAAAACTAAGCACACTGAAAAGCCAGTTGAAGTAAGAGAATCTTAAATCAATTAATGTAGAGTTTTATATACACGTTATTTAGATACAGTAAGAAAAGTACAGGAAGAAAAAACTTAAGAATTTAAAATGGTCATTCTAGGGAACAGGATGAGAAGGCAGGCAATGCTGTATTTTTAGATAAATATTTTCTATTGTTTTTACTTTTAGCCTGTGTGAATGAATTGCTTTAATTCATTTTGTAAACTAAAAAGCATCTTTCCCAGTAGCAGGAGTCACTAGGGGATTGACGGGTGGAGCCTACAGAGGAGGGGAGGAAATGGAAAGAGCAGTGACTCACTATCGTCTTCCCAAGGCCTTTAATTAGTAGACTAACCAGCACTAAAAATGTACGCCAGCATCAGAGGAACCAGAGCTCCTCCCAAGGATGGTGATTGGGTCACAAAAAGCTCTGGACATCCTTGTAGCAGCCATGAGGAGACAGCATCACCTCGTGGAAACAATGGGAATCGCTGCTGGCCCTGGTCACACCCCCAAGGCTCAGGATCCTGTTAACTCACTATCCTCTCCATGCACCCAAGCAGTAATTCCCTGAGCTCACGACCTTCCTGGTTCTGTTGGGTGCTATTAAAGATAAAATTCCCTACCTACAGATCAGCCTATGGAAGGAAATGCAAAAGAAACAAAGTGGAGTACAAGTATATATAGCAAAGGCAAGCACAGTTATAGGAGCCTAGAAAAAGAGTCCCACTACATCTGAAAGGAGAGATACACCATATCTGGACAGGAAAGCACAGCTGGAATAAGACACAAAAAACCCAACCTCTACAGAGCTTAGTGCTGTGGTGAAACAGAGATTTCCCCTAATGTTAGAAGACAAAATAGAGCAAGGGAGAGGAATGGGTGATCCTTGGGAGGAGGTGCAATTTCCACCAGGTACTAAGGTACTTGCTGCAAAGGTGACCCTGGAGAATAGCCATGCAGGTCTCTGAAAGATATATGAAGTCTGTGAGATTGGGCATGTCCAGTGTGTTTGAGGAAGAGCAATAAGGCCAAAAGGGTAGAACAGAATGGGTGAGGGGAGCTCAGCAGAGGATGAGGCCAGCCAGTCCTGCAGGCTGTGTTGGAAAGTCCTACAAGGTCAGTCTCAAAACTTGGGCTTTCCTCTGGGGCACCTAAAGCATAAGCAGAACAGTAAGGTAACCTGGGTTATACTTATAAGGCACACTACTATGTTGAGGAAATGTTGAAAATGTTGGCTGCTACGTTGAGAAAATGTTGCTGGAGAAGTAAGGCGGGGAAAAAGGGAGGTCAGACAAAATGCTACTGCAGTAATGCACATAAGAAATGATGGTGACAGCTGAGAGAGTAAAACATGTTTGGATTCTTTAGGTATTTTGAAGATAAAGCTAAAAATAAAAAGAATGTGCCCATGGCTTGTGTATCAGGCATACAGAAGAGAAGCTAAGAATGAGGACAAGGTTTGGGGCATGTGCAATAGAGGGAAAATGGAGCTGCAATTTTCTACTTAAAGGAAGCCTTCATGTGGGGAAGCATGTACCAAAAGCTTTTACTGACCAGAGAGTACAGCAGGAATGGTAGACCAGACATAGAGCTGGTCATAGTATATCTATCTCTGATATGGGCCTGCCACCCACTGCAGCTCAGAACTCCCAGGCTGGTGCCATGCGGAACAAATCAGAAAGACTCCTGCTTGTGCCTCAGTCCTGCCTGGAAGAATATGAATAGTAGGGCCCCTCACACAGGCTCCTTACAAGTACCTCCATGGACCATTCCCTTCTTTAGGCCATCCTTGTTGTCTGAAGTCAAGAGCAGTTCTATGATACCACGGTCCTCTAAGGCCTGTTGGGAATAAAGGAAAAGTCAAAGTCTATCCCCATTCTCCAAAGCTTCTGCAGTGTAATACTGCTGAGAATGAGGTAGCCTGAAGAGCAAGAGGAAAAAATTAAAAGGAAACATATATCTACAGAAAACAGAGGAAAGCCCATTTTGTCTGCACCTGTCAGATTCAGCAAAGCTCCAATAAACTTGATTTCTAGTTGTAGTAGAGGACAGGGCTGTTGATCTTTGGCAGCCCATGGATGTTTCTGGTCTGGTCAGTTTGTTGTTCTCAGATGGACCTCTCAATGGCCAGCTATGGCTCAGGAGTCTGCTGGGCTCCAGCAAGTAGATCAGACCTCCAGGACAGCACCACATCTTTCACTTCACCCACACCATGAACAAGCTCACTGTCTTTTTCCCCACATTGAGCCAGTGTGAGTGTGATCAAAAGCAAGAGCATGATGCCCAGCAGTGCCTCAGTGATGTGACTATGGTGCACTACCCAGACTGAGCAGAGCAGAAAGCACTCCTGGAGTTTGTAAACCAGAGAATGAATAAGTAAAAGGAAGAAGCTATAGTTGAGGGGCAATAAGGATTGTTACTACTCAGATAATAGCTAACATTTATACAGTATTTACTATCACACCAGGCCTTCTGTTAAGCACTTTGTAGACTGTCCCACTGCATCTTCAGAATTAATATCTTAACAGTAGAGACCAAGAGCTTCAGTAAGGCTGAATAAAGTTTGATGAGAGAGTATGTGCTAAACCCAGAATCTGCCCACTTTCAAAGGTTCTCTTCTGGGACTCTGGGTTCACTGGGAACAGAAACCACTGCAAAGGTGATCTTCCTATCATTTTCACTGCAGATATTATGAAAATAAGATTGCATATTTCAACTGAATTTTTTTTGGAAATAGGGGAGGCAGAGAGATTATCTAGTCAGTGAATAAAGTGGATCTGACCTCCAAGAACAAATCCCATAGGTTGATAAGAAAAGAGCAGAATGGGGTTATAGTTCCCAGGGATGACAGACGCTGAAGAGTTCAATCCATGAAGCCAGATAAGATCTTTATCAGCAACCCTGGATCAACCCCCTTGAACTATCCACCCAGTCATTCACTATATATAACAAACATTTACTTAAAGTCCTACAATATACACATGCTTAAATTTTCATGGTCATTAATTCATTGACTCTACCCGGTAAAAGATGATCATCAATTTGCTGACACCAGTCACAGGCCATGAACAGTTAAGTGCTTTGTGTCTTATCTCATATTCTTAGAGAAACGACTCAGCCTTAGAAAAAGCCAGGCCCAAAAATGACTATAGTTAAACTCCCTCAGCGAGACTTCTGGCAGGCTATGTTATGTTTTTAGTATGTAGCCAGGGCTGGCACCTGGCTACATTATGATTAGTCAAGGCCAGAAACACTGTGATTCAGCATATAGATTCAAGGTCATAAATATTAAGTATGAGCATGTGCCCTCCCTTTATATAATTTGTTGGCATTGTGCCTTCTTTGTTTGGCCTGCATATCAAAAGATCCTTCAGAATTAATATCTTAACATATATTAATTAATATCTTAACTATATATAAGTATATATAACTTAAGTATATATGACTAAGAAGGAAGGAGCTAAAATGGAACTGGCTGGGGGCTGATGCTGAGGCTGGGGGCTGGCTAATGGCTGTGGCCACCACTTAATAAAGCATGTCTACTATCCTAACTATGTCTTGGATCTTCCACCTGCCGAAGCCCAAGTCTGTTTCCTGGGTCAGAGCCCCCGCACAACAGCCATTCATGTCTCCATTTTGCACATGATGAAACTAAGACTCAGAAAGGAGAAAGGGGTCTTGCCCACCGTCAAGCAATGCTGGCAATGTCCACAACTCAGCTACTGCCTCCCACACTGCCCCCCCAGGGAAAGTTGCATGGCAATTCATAAGGGGATTTTCCCAAGAGCTTTAGGATGACAAGAAGCTGGGTGCCATGCACCAGTAAAGCATGAATGAACAGGAGAGGTTTCTGAGAAAGCTATATTCTCATCTCTTGCAGCTCATGAAACATTCCTTCTCTGCAGCTGAATCAAGTAAAAAATTACTGGAGAAGCCACAGGTTATAAGAGATAGTCTGAGGGAATAAGATATAGAAGACGAAGCTCTCAAGTCCTGTGTTTGCAGTAGGATTATTCTAGGTAATTCAAAGGTGACAAGGAAGCTAGATGTGACTCTATTTCAGGCTGTGGTTGGCCTTGACTATCAGGTCTGAACTTGCCCCTTTCCAGCTTAAGGAATGTCATCATTCCTGAACACAGGCTTAGACTCTACTAAGACAGTTTTCTGCACACAAGAAGTGAAAGTCTATAAGAATCTACAAGCTGAAGTGCTTGAGCCTTGGTCCTCACTCTACAGAGGACCCAGATAAAAAAATGAATCTGTGTGTGACAGCAGAAGAGATACTGCATAGGCCATCAAAATCCAAAGCCATCCAGATTCCAATTAGATGCATTCACAGAGGCCATTTATCATTTCAAGTCACACCACGGCTGACCCTTCAAAGTACTCTGAAACAAATGCCAAAGATTCCATCAAAGTCTTATTTACTGAAAAATTTACTATTTGTCTAGAATAGCGTTGATCTGTATGATCTCACATAATACAGTTAAGAGGCAGAGACTCTTTGTAATCCTATTGTATAGAAGAAAAATAAGAGGTTTAGAAAAATGAAGGCATTTGTTCAAGGTCTCAGCTACAATTTGACAGAAACCAGATTTTAATATTAGCCTATTCTTTTATATGTTACCTTAGTCCTTTCCCTCCATGATTTGCTGTATATTAAATCAGTAGTTCTCAACATCCCCCATACAATGGGATTGGACGTCTGAGAACCACCCCAGAGATTCTTATATATATGACTGGGGCATTCAAATTTTTAAAAACTCTCAAGGGAAAGCCAACCTGTAGCTAAAGATCGGAGCCATGGCTTTAGGCACTGTAATGAAGGCAGACTCTTGAGGAAACCTTCCCTAATCACTGCCACACAATTAAATCAATTCCATATTCTTAGCTCCTGCAACACACATATGTACTGCAATCCCCAAATTAATCCCACTCAATAAAGGGAAAATAAGTGAAAACCCTGTTAAAATAAAATTTGGAGACAAATTCATTAATTGATAAATGAAGTTGGGAGACATGGTATTAATATGAGGAAAATATTAGATCCATACATCACAACTTTTAAGACATTCTAGAGGAATGAATATGAAGAAATGAACCAAGCTGACTCTTACCTTCCTGATGTAAGGCATGTAAGCAGGATCTCTGTCATAGGAACCATATTCATTCTCTACTTGCACAGCAATGATGGGCCCTCCATGCTTATACTGGGGAAAAGAGATAAATAATCAGAAGCTGAGTTTGTAGTAAGAGCCATATTATCTAAATTCATCATACTTATCTCTAATTACTATCAATGTATCCAAAAACAAGTCTCAAAAGGTTTGGAATGTAATTGAGAATACTATAATCAAGATGGTGGAATAGGAAGCATCAGGCCTTTGTTCTCCATGGAAACACCAAATAACTACAAACTGACTAAATAAGCTTATAGGGGCTCTGGAAACCAGTCAAATATCAAAGCAAGAAAATGACTACACAATCAAGATAATCACATGCAAGAGAATAGGAAATTTCTTTATGTTTTTACTAAAATCTTGCTACACATCCCTACCCCTCCCATCTCTCCTCAGTGTAACATGGTGTGGTTGGGATAAAGTGTTCCAAATTTCCAGTTCCCTCCACCAGGATGGAAGGGGCAAAAGGGCACTTGTTTGCAATTCTCTAGTTTGACTGTGAGCTGCCCAGAGAACTTGTTTCTGTCTCATCTGACTTGAAACATCAACAGGAAACATCAAGTTTGGAAGCTTCAGAATTCAGTGAGAGATATTATAGCATGTGGAACTGCAGAAGACTACAGACTTGTGGATGGCTGTGGGCAAGAAATTATGAGCAGAAGAATATGACAGAACACCCAAAAACTCTGATAAGAGTCTTTGTGAAATGAAGATATGTAAAAGCAAACAGTTAGGGTGTGAAAAAAGTGTATAGACAGGTGCAAACAGAAGATATTCTCAGAAAATATCTGTAATCTTGTGTCTTTACTCTGGCCTGATCTCTAGGTTCAGAAGCCCATTAATTGAGAAAGATCTTCCTAAGTGGTCTGCATAAAAGACAGGGTGAGATAAGTTTTTCCCCCCAAAATGCCAAAGATTCACAAAAAAAAAAAAAAACCACAAGGCTTATAAAAAGAATAACAGAGAAACATAGTTTGTTCAAAAGAACAAAATAAATCCAGAATAGTCTCTAAAAACATACACACATACACATAACCAGACATATTAGACAAAGATGTTATAACTGTCAAAAATACATTTAAAGAGCAAAAGAAAAAATAAGACAAAAATTAAAGGAAATCAACAAAATGACATATGAACAAATAAGAATATAAATGAAGACATGGAAATTTTTAAAAAGAAACAAAACAGAAATTCTGGTGCTGAAAGAATTCAGTATATAAACAAAAAAAAATCCACTAGAGAAGTTCAACAGCAGATTCACACAGGAAATAGAAATAATAAGTGAGCTTGAAAACAGATCATTTGGAAGAAATAATGGCTGAAAATTTCTCAAATCTGGGAAGAGACATGAATATGTACATTCAGGAAGCCAAAAAATTCCAAACAGGATAACCCAGAAACCTACACAGAGACATTTTATATAACAAACAAAATTGTTGAAATATAAAGACAAAGATTCTTAAAATGCAGAAAGAGAAAAATGACTTGTCACATAGAAGGGATCCTCAGTAATACTATCAGGTATATCTCAGCAGAAATCTTGAAGGCCAGAAAGTATCTGGAATGACATATTCAACATTGTAAGGAAAAAATGTCTCAACTAAAAATTTTGTATTTGAGATAACTTTTTCAAAAATGAGAGAGAAATTAAGACATTTCCAGACAAAGAAAAGTTGAGGGAGATCATTACCCCTGAACTTTCTCTGTGATAAATGCAACAAATTGAAATAAAAGAATACTAGACTGTAACTTGAAGTTGTATAAAAATATAATGTTCTCCAGTAAAACTAAAAATGTGAAAAAAATGTAAAGCAATATTATTGTAATTTTAATGTACAATGACACTTTATTTTCTACAAGATTTAAAACATAAAAACCAGAATAAAGATTATTGAGTACAACATATAAAAATATATAATTTGTTATATCAATTAAGTAGGGAAATAGAAATATAAAGAAGTAGTTTTTTATGTAATCAAAGTTAAGTTGTTATCATTTTAAGATCAGATATCATAAATTTAGGATATTATATATAATCCTTAAGAAATGAATAAAATAATTATAACTAGGAAAAAAACCCTTGGTTATGCCACTTCCATGCCCAAGAATGCCTCTGAACTCTGTTCCCATAATGGCCTTGATAGTGCTCCCACCTCTCTTCCACCACCCAACCTATCAGCACCACCTGCTGAATCTCCTCAGTAACTCCATTTTCCGTACAAAGATCTAGGCCAATAACTTCCAAGCTTCTTGCTTCTTTCATGATTAGGTCTGCCAAATTTAGTAAATAAAAATATAAGATGCCCAGTTACATTTGCATTTTATAATGAAGACATTTTTATATTAACAATGAATAAGTTTTCTAAATGTAAAAACTTACATGCTATTTGGGCAATATTTCACTAAGAAAAAATTCCTTGCTTACCTGAAATTCATATTTAATTGACATCTGTTCTTTAGCTGGCTGTTCTCTTTGATTTATGTATGCTATGAACATTCCAAAGAATTAACTCAAGAGCAATTTTTTATTGATACATTAATTTTGATGTACTAATTCCTCAATGCCATTCTTCATGGTTTCCTTAAGCAACTTTAATTATTCCCATTCTCCTTTTTTATTGCTTCTAATTATTACATAAAATATTAAATACTCCCTCCAAGACTCATTTTAACATATTTGTTTAAATAGCAAATGCATACCAAACAGTACCTTTTTGGTTAGCAGAGGGAAGTACCTTGAAAAGTACTTAAAATTTAATTTTAAAAAAATCATCTGTTTAGTACATAAGGCCTAACCATGTTCTCTCTGCAGAACTGAGCCACGGTGCTATTGGGACATTGACACATGGTGTTTTCAGTTATTAAGACATCCCTACTTACCCATCATGAGTCATGAATCTGGAACTATACAGAGAAATGTGAGTCCTGACACCTGTCTGTCCATTTAACTTTGGCTGATACCACAATGAAATACACAGCTCTTTGAAAAGATCACTATCACGAGTCCCTCTGATTCTAAAACTCAGGCAGTCAGGAAGAGTGTGTTCCTGTGTTGAAAAGAACTGTGGACCCCTTGGTCTGAGAACTTATTTGGATTACCTACTACCCAGAAGAAAGATAAGTAAAATATCAAAGAGTCCGTTTGCTTTTACCTGGAGGGGCACCACCCTGGACATTAGGTGATCAAAGTAAAGGTCCACTGCCTCAGTGAAGCCCTTGTAAGTTGTTCTCAGTTTCATGCCAGAGTCCTGGAGTAGCCAGCTTAGAAAGAAAAGGGAGAGGACAGGATCATTAGAATCAGGATCTGTGGGTTTTCCTGGGGCAGGCTCACGGTGCCGAGAAGATAGTAGTTCCAGAGAACTCAGGGATGACTCTGGAGACCAGGATGAGCTGAGAGTCATTCCTATCTCACTACCTCCACTCAACCAGGATGTTGGGTGAAGTACAGACAGATTCAAGGGCAAGCAACAGAGTCAGCCTGCACTCTCCACTGCTTCCCTACCCACTAGCACAACTCTGGGGGAAGGTCATTTCCAGCTTTCCAGCTATAGAACTCTACCTATCACTGCCACACAGTAAGAAAAGCTTTTCATGGGACCCAAGACCAAGGTTGCAAGCATTTCCATCACTATTCCCCAACAAAATGGTGAAGCCAAAGGGTTAGGAATCATCACTGGGGATGGAGAAGGACACAGTCACAATCTTCCAGGGTCATCCAGAAAAATGAGCCAGCACAGCCCGTGAAAGGTGACTGCAGTCTAGCTGTGTCCCTGCTGACCACAGACTTCTTTGCATGAGCCACATCAGCCCTGCAGAGCTTGGCCAGTGGCAGCAGCAGTAGATTCAATTTCTTTCTCTACCCTGACTGCTGTGATGACAATTTCCCCCAAAGAAACACAGCACTATGGCTTGGTTCTAAAACAGGAGTCCAAGTACTTCCTTCCCACTTGAAATTCTAAAAAAAAAAAAACATATTTTCTAACAAAAGGCTCTGGGGCATCCCTTGTCCTGATTCTAAAGCCCTGAACAAGGTCAGAGAAGACATGAATGGTATGACTGTACTTTGTATACAACCAGAGATATGAAAAATTGTACTCTATATGTGTAATATGAACTGTAATGCATTCTGCTATGATATATAACAAAGTAGAATAATTTTTTTTTAAATGGAGGAGACCTGGGCTTCTTAGTGCTTAACCTCCACATTCCCCGTCACATCAAAGGTATAGTTTATCACTTGCACTGTGGCTTCACCCTCCCCTGCTGTGCCTCAAGGGACACCCTAGTAAATGCAAAGGTGCCACATAGAGCCTGGCAGAAGATCTGAGGTCCAGAGCTTCTTGCTGCTTCTAAGATTGTTAAATCCTATCTTCCTCTAGCTGAGCTCCAGGAAATCACTGGCCCTGTAATCCATAGGGACTTGGGAATCTACTCTGGCTGTGTTCACAGCCTTGTTCCAAACACAATGCCAACTCAGAGAGAGGCTGAGCCCCTGAGGGAAGGGCTGATAGAGCTGGAAACTGAGAGAGAAAACAAAGCAGGACCTTGGAGCTTGTGCTGTGGGAAGAAAGTTCCCCGGGAGAACGAAATCAGTCTTTTCTCTTGGGGCAGCATAGGGTGGGGAGCCTGGGTCTAACCATCTGGTACAGTATGAGGCTAGGAAAGATTATACCTATTATAACAAAGAAAATCTTTTTTTTTTTTTTTTACTGGAAAATAACGGTAGTAATGACTAGGATAAGGAAATGAATGGGATCCCAGCTGATCCTTGCCCAGATTTGTAGTTCAACAAATTACATTTAGAAAGATCAGACATTAGAAAAATTGAAGACAAAACAGAAACAAAAGCTTCTCTTATACTTTACCAAAATACTGAACTTTAAAAAAAAAAATGATTGGTAATATCCTTAAAAAATAGGGCAGGTTTGATTTTTCCATTTGTAGTGAGGGAAAGTTAAGCCAAGGGCAGACAAATGATCTGTCTGAGTTTCAACTTCACAGTTGGGCCCAGAAGAATAAAAAGCTCCAGAATGTCCAATCCTCTTGCTGCTGTTTGCCACTTAACACAATCCAATGGAATTTTACAAGGCCAATAACTGCAACATCATTCAAAATTACCCCTTTTGGATGCTACTTATTCTGAAAAGGAAATTTAGCACAGAATAGAAACTATACCTTGAAAACCAAACTAAATCAATATTCTTTGAATATTTTGTATTAGCACAGAGATCCCTTAAGCCACACTGGCCTCTCTCAGCCAGGCTTACCTGGGTAAGCCTCCAAGGTCAATCTCACTGCAGATGTAAGGGCCTGGACGCAGAATCACCCACAGCCCAATTTCTGCAGCCATCAGGACAAAGGCCCTGGGGAGATAAACAAAGTCAGGCCCTCTCATGAGAGTCCACAGGGAGGTGGCATGAAGAGGGAGCCTCATACCTGACAGTGTGTCAGAGTTACCTAGCTTCTCATTCCCTTTCTTCTCTTAACCAGGAAGACTTGGGGGGGGGGGGTCAGCCCAGCCTACCAGAAAAGGGAATCCTTCTGGTCAGAGGCCAGTGGCCCTGGGAGCTGCATTTGTACTGGCTCCCAGAATCAGGATCAGCTCAGCCCTACTGGCAGCATAAGGAATAAAGGCATCAGGGTGCAGAGCCTCTTACCCAGCAATACCCCTGAGAGCTCACAGAATATCTCTGACCCCAGCCAAGTGGCTGGATCCCACTTAGAGTCAAGTAGCACCAAGGATCTTGGCCCCTCTAGGCTGCAATAGAGAGGCTGGGTCAAAGGCTGCAGCCCAGCACCCCTGGGTAACACATCATTGCTGGAGAACAACTGAGTTCTGGGTACAGAGCCACTCAGAGCATCCTCAGAACAAGGCTCCAGATCTTGGTTCCTGTCTGGTTCTCAAACCACAGCCCAGATACCACTAGGGTTCTTAGTCTAAACTAAGCGGCCATGTGTCTGTCACCCACTCTGGGCCTGGTCACAGAAGCAGCAGTACCACATACTCTAAGTCCAGATTCCCAGAGAAGTTGAATTTGCCTCTTTCTGGCTCATGGAGGTTCCATGGGACATAGCTGTAATAGAAAATACAATTATAGGCAAGACTTTGTCAATTATTCCACTTCACCTCCTAGATTACCTTTCTTGTCCCTAAAAGAAGATATGTTTCTTTTATGATGGCTGAAGATATGCTTCTTAATGGGTTCAGGACCAGAAACAAGAACTAACTGAACAGATCTGGGACAGAAGAGAATGCAAGGCAACCCCCAGGGGACTAACATCGCATCTCCTTAGGAGAAGAAGAAGCTCAACAAGATTTAGGTAAAGCATGAGACATGCAGAGTAAAAAATCAGGCCCAATGAGCACAGGTCAGCTTGCCATCCCTACCCCTTGTCAGTGAGAAAGAAGTAAGTATGTTGGAAAAAGAGATAAAAGTAGGGCAGAAAGAAACTTCAGTTATTAATCCTATTTTACTAAAGCATCCATATTTCCAAAACTTGCAATAGAATGGGGCTTCTAATGGAAAGATAATGGCACTCAGTAAGCTGTTAAAGGAGGCCAACTCAAGAGATGGGAGATAACACTATAATAGTTAAGAAAGTTGCTCTCCTCCCTGACCACCACATCATGGGCCTAACAGAACCTTCTCCAACTGCAAAGAATATTCACAGATGAAGGGAGGCTTTATGGCTTCTAATTCATTCTCAAGAGTTTCATGTTTCAGCAAATGTAGATTGTTCTGCTTTGTTACCAAAGCAAAATGTTTATCCTGCAGTATTCCCATAATCTTCAGGAGTTCTGAGATGCTATCCACATTTCTTTCAAAATGCAGTCACATCTCAGAACACTCCTATAACTCCTCAAAGCCAGTTCATAAACCAGCAAAGAAAATCCATCTTTTTGATTTATAATAATGTATTTTTTCTCAAAAATGGAACAATCCAGCCTGATAACCCACTTTATTTTATAGACATACATACAAGTATCTGTTGGAAATTGGGGGAAAAAATCCATGAAAAGATCAATATTAAAAAAAAAAAGATCAATATTATTCACAAATGAATCTATTTTAAAAATGATTTGCATATTCAACATCGTATTGCATACCCATCATGTGCCAAAATCACACTAGGTACTGAAATGGTAACCACAGCAATCAGGATCATGACAAAAAAGGAATGTGGGACATTGCTTCTCAGATTGTTCCCTGAAGAAGACTCTGTTCATTTGCTGTACAAACTGAGGTTGGGCAGGTTGCTTGTTAAAAATTTATTTATTGGGTCATTATAAGAAGAGGAAGAGATACCCAGACTATGGATCCAGAGAGGAAAGGACATGCAAGGACATAGGAAGAGGATAGCTCTCTATAAGCCAAGCAGAAGGCCACAGGATAGGCCAAACATGTTCACAACTTGATCTTGGACTTCTAGCATCCAAAATTGTGAGAAAACAAAATTCAGTTGTTCAACTGTCCCCTCTCCCTGCCCCACCCCCACCAGCTGCCCCACAACATACATAAGAAAAATAAAAACGAAAAAAAGAAAAACCCTCCTACATGTACACTTACCTACCTTTCTCACTCTATTCTTTTGTTCAACATTGTTACCTGGTCATTCTAGACTCTGTAGTCATTTCACAACTTTTTGTGCTTATTAATAGGGAGTTCTGTAGAGATTAGGAAGAAGGGAGACTCTTACCCCATAGACCTAAGCAGAAAGCTTAGGCTATATCCTCCTCTTATATTTTTCCTCCTGCAGACACCAGGAACCCCTATTTGGTAACAGGGGTTTGGTGGCAGGGGATGGGGCACAGCACTCACGTGGTAAGGGTATTCAAGCCACAGGCTCTCATCTTGAGCAAGCGATCCCTCCAGTATTCCCGGGGCACACGGAAATAGTGTATGGAGCCCCCAAAGATCCAGAAGATGGAATCCTCTAGCATAAAGTGTTGGCCTTTCGTGTGCAACCCTAACTGCCGATGTCGGAGCCATGCAGGGATCAGAGTACTCCACTCCAACCTAGAAAGAGAAAATGCCCTGATGGAGCCTTGGAGCTCACTGGCAGCAGCGAGCAGGGGAGCAGAGAGGCAACTGGCTCCCTTGCCTTCTTCACAGGCCCTCAACATCTCTGAAAAGGTCCTGCTCCCAGGCAGTCAGGCCCAGCTCCCACCCTCCAACTTGGTCAAACCTTGGAAGGTATCTTTCTTCAGCAACACTCACAGGGCTGGGCCCCACTGCAGGAGGAGAGCAAGGTGACGCTGCAGTCAGGAACAAGACAAACACAATGTTCAACATGAAGATGTGTATGTGCTAGAAGGAAAGAGGATGAAGCAGGGTCATGCTACATGGGAAGGGGCTGCTCTCTAGCATTAGGGTCTGGAGAGCAGCTATAGCTCACAGGCTCCTAATATGGCCAGGTGTTCTAGGCCACCTGGCTAAACATTAAAGCGGCAGCTACTAGGAATAGTACTTCTGAGCCTTCTCACCTGACTTGAGTTACAGATACCTGGAAAGAGGCATCCATGTTAAACAGCATCTATTCATTGGTCATACTTCAGGTATTAAGTTATTTTTTGAAGATCAAGCACCAATCAAGAGATAATCCAGCATAACTCAGACTGGAAGACTGTTTGACAGTTATAATCCATGAAAAAGTATCTCTGGGGTTGGCAAAAAGGACTTCTTTTAATTGTTCCCAATGACCCCAGAGTTCCTAGGATTCCCCCTCTTCTCCACCTAGGCTCCTAAAGACCAGGAGAGAAAGCTGGCCAGAATACCTGGGAAACTGGAAATGTATGGCCGTAAATTTTAGAAAAGTTGAAGACAAGAAAAAATGAAAAGTAAGTTTGAGGCAAAAGCAAATTTTAACTGGTGCCTTTTCTCTTCTCAGTACAGTTCTTGACACCAGAGGGCATATTGCTGGGCATATTTTATGCTCCTCTGCAAAAAATAGTTCC